ACAATGAGGGTAAAAATGTAATTTTAATCATAAAAAACACTTTTGGAGCCAAATAATGTAACGGTTGATGAGGGTTAGTTGTCTTAATTGATTTCAATGAATTACTAAGGGTAAAAATGTCATTTTAATCATCAAAAAACACTTTAATTAGCCAAACTAAAGTCAAAGGGGTAACAATATCTTTTTACACGTAAAAATTGGTCTGACATATCTGAAAAGTAACTTTTGGGGTATGAGTGAAAAATGGAGCAAACATTTATAATGTGAGTGATAGTTATTTTCGAAAGATATTTGAAGGTGATATTTGGCCAAACTTGAAGGGGTGTTAGTGAAATTAACCATAAAAATTAACTATTAAATTTATAAAAGATTGATGGAGAAGGGAGAAATATAGATAAAATTAAAGCTTTGATATGCAATTTTGCGCTAAGTAATAATATCTCCGTCTCACTTTAATTGTCGCATTTGAGAAATGTGACTTGTGAGTCACATTTTCCGAAAGCGACAATTAAAGTTGTGAGTCACATTTCTCGAAAACGACAATTAAAGTGGGGTCGAGGGAATAGATAAATAAATGAAGCTGTAAAGTTATACAATTTCTTGCTATAATTGTAAATTAAATTTTTAGGGCAGGCGCACTTGAAGTGTATAATTCTTTGAAGAAACTAAAATTTCAATTATTCAGCTGAAAACAATGAAAATAAATAAACTTTTTCAAACAATGTAATTTTAGATTAAAATATCAAATTATATTTAAACAAAATAGGATTTATAAGAATTCTTTTTGACTTGATTTAGTTAGCTAGCATGGTATCGAAAAGAAATTATTGCAGAGTCTTGGATTATAATCGCTGGACGGTTTAATTCAAATCCAATTAAATTTTATATTCAGATTTTTTTTTCTTATATCTTATTGGAGTATCTAATATTTTCTTGTATAAAATAAAGATTCACTGAATAAGACACTGAAAAATTATTAGATCAGCTTGTACTATTAGTTATTTTATGGTCCAAATTGTCCAATACAACTAAAATTCATAAAGATATTAAACTATTATAAATAAGAGAGTTTTTTTTTATTAAGGCTCCTGTTTGTTTGTGTGTAAAATATTTTTTAATCCAATACAATTAAAATTCATAAAGATATTAAACTATTATAAATAAGAGAGTTTTTTTATTAAGGCTCCTCTGTTTGTTTGTGTGTAAAATATTTTTTAAAAAATATTTTTTATTTTTTGATGTTTGGTTGTCGTAAAAGATTTACGAAGAAAAAAAAAATATTAAAATCTAACAAATATAATTTACCCATCAATTTTTAATAAGATATTTTACACGTCCCGTCCGATGGACTCGATCTCAATCTCGACCTAAACTTCTGCCAAACACCGAACAATATATATATATATATATTACCTGAAAAAGAAAAGCCGTTTTCAAAAAAATATATTTTACATTAGCCTAAGGCTTCGTTTGGATACACATGAGAAAAAAGAAAGGGAAGAATTATCAAAGAAAAGAAAAGAAAGGAAATGATAGGTATAATTTATATTCATGTTTGGATAGATATGGGAGAAAAGAAAGGAATTGATAATATTGTTGTTTGGATAACACAAATGAGAGAAAAGAAATGAAAGGATAATAATGAAATTACCATCTTACCCTTTTGATAGGGCTAGTAGGGCAAAACCATTTCAACCTCTCATCGCCTCTATCTCTGATCCGCTCTCTCTCTCCCCAACTGCATATTGACATATCATTTCAGATTGTTTCAAAAATCAAAACCCATATATTTCAAGCTTGCCCCCCTCCCTCTGCAACTGCTAACTTGTATGTATGGGTTTCATCTGATTTCAAGGTTTTTCTCATAAATTTTTTCCATTAAATGTTAATCAAATATCAATCCGTTCAAAGTCTCATAGATACATCCGAAATTTTCGCTAAAGCTGACTCGAGCTCATTAATGAACACACATAGTTCATAATTTGATGTATGTGTATGTGTCTATATATATATATGTTTGTGTCTGTATAGATGTATATACACTCTGGAACTGCTAACTTATACGTATGGGTTTTATTTTAAATTTTTTTCTAAAATTAACTAATCAAGGTCTGTAATTCTTGTTTTGCAACTCTCTCTCTCTGCAACTGCGCAACTCTTTCTTTCTCTCTACAACTGCATATATATATATATATATATATATATATATATATATATATATATATATATATTTCAGCCTCCCCAATAGCCTCCATCTCCTTCTCAGCCTCCCTCTCTCTCTATGCAACTGTATATCAAAAACCTAAACAAGCATATCACTTCAGATTATTAAAAAAATCAAAACCCATATCAATTAGTTTCCTGTTGTTCCAGTTTGGTCGCCGTTCACAACTTCAGCCGGCTGTCTCTCAACTCTCTTGCCCCTTTTGTAAATTTGCTCCATTTCTCTCCAAATCCCTCTAAATCTTGTCAATTTTGGAGGGCTTCTAAATAAGGGATTTGGAGGGATTGCTATCCCCCAAAATCTCTCCAAATCCTTTCTTTTCTCTTCTATTTCTCACATCCAAACACACTCATCACTATCTTTTCCTTTCTTTTTTCTTCAAATCCCTCTAAAATCCCTCAATCCAAACGAAGCGTAAATGTATCATGTATTATTACATATGTTAAACTAGTACTAATAATATACTTTTGTGGGAAAAAAAAACTAGTACTTAGTAAGGAGTAATAATTACACTAACACAACAACAATATTAACTTCCTATTTTTGAATTTGGCGCTAAAGTTTAAATTCCACATAAATAAACCCAACAACTGGCGGTAATTTCCAAAAATGAAAAAAAATTACTCTAAAAAGGGTAACTTGCAACCTCTGAGCTGTCATCCAGGCGTCACAACAATATCCACCCACCTCATATATGTGTATGACCACTTCTTTGGTGCAAAGAGCCATCACCTTCTCTCGAATTATTCGACCCAACGAACCACTCTTCACGGCAAAAAGTGGTCCCCATCGTCCTTTCTCTTCTGGGAGGCGACCCCACCGTTCGATATGGCGCGAAGATATGGTCCCAGCATTTTCCCGCCAAACATTCAAAGCATAAAGGTCAACCGCCACAGTTGTCATATATCATAACGGTCGGCTGGTTTAGTTAGGAGGAGCTTCGCACGTCCTACGGCATTTGATGTAGCCACGTGGCAACATCGTGAGGATGATCCGCTGGGAGTACGGAGAAAATTTTTATTCGACAATTCCAAAACTTGATAACCGTCGATGAAGTAGTCCTTTAAAATGGACGGCATCTGCAATGCCACGTAGAAGGTTCAGGAAACAGTTCCAAACAAGCCAACGTGTTTTCTGATGAGCTGCAATTGATCTTCAGACAATGGGTCCCAGCTCAGCGGGGACAACGTGGTGCGTTAATCACAGCGTTTTTAAGGATAATGTTACTCCATTCTTTTGAAACCTGTCAAGTACCACAACTAATCAAAGCACTGTTTTAACATTAAAAAAAACAGAAAGTGAAAATTAAAAAATAATATTATTAAATTGGTAGCGTGCTTCCACGATTACGTTTCAGTCATGCTCGTGCAGTTGCTTAGCACGACTAATTAAATAATGCCACGTACGACGCACTGTTTTGCGAACTCAAATGACAAAATTGCCCTGAAGGGATCTTATTATGCAAGGGAATACTACAAGTTAGTTATAAGCAAGTGCAACGATCAAGAGCAGCTAACGGTGCAACGAAACCGGCCCAAAGGATACAATGATGATGACAATAGAAAAAGGAGATACGAGCCGAGGTTGTCACGTGTGGACCTCGGCCCATGATGATGACAATAATTTCGATTGGCCGATCTCAACGTATAAACTATCTTTACTCGCGCGCGAAAAGCTAATAAACGATAGACAGAGCTATGCTAACAAGAGGATTTAAAATTGAAATGAGACATCAAAAGTGGAATCGGAATCCTATTTTCATTTTACGCTATTTACTGTAATTCAGAATACATTTTATCAGACTATTGATAAAATTTTCTACTATAAAGTTAAAGTTTCATAGTTAATAAATATAAGTAAATTTTTATCCTTAATATTGATCGATTTGGTTAGATAAAAATTAACAGTAAAAATAAAATAAAATTATTTGTGTGTTTAATTAAATGAAACTATAAAAAATAGCATTTTATTATTTGAATAATGTGAAACATATTATAAAAAGAGATATACATTTGAAATTTCTTATATTTTTGTCGAGAAAACAAAAATTTTCTATGTTTTTTTTGTTAAGTTTTTTTTATAGAAAAATTAGGTATTTATGAAAAGTTACTTTTTCACAAAATTTTGTATGAAAGTTAGTTATATATATATATATATATATATATTTTATTTCTCTATTTCCATCAAACCAAAATACGCCGTAAATTTGTAATATCATTTTTGAAAAGAAATTTGATTTCATAAAAGCAAGACATCACTCAAAAGAGTTTATTTCAAAATTCAATTTTTTTATATTTACAAATTTCATCAAAGAATGTCTAATTTTAGACCCAACTGCTTTGTTGACAAGAATATAAGCAAACCCGATTTGGACATACAAGCCACAAAAGTGAAAGCAACTCTGCCATCTGATATTATAAAAAAATAATTGAATGAATTATAGGATACTTGGTGGTCAAAATTTGTATTATTGTATTTTATTTAATAAATATTAAATTTGTATGAATTTACTTCTTTCTAGTTGTAAAATTTTAATTAGACCGGACTAATTTTTCGTGGATTAGTTGATGCGCTTGACTTGACCTGGCGTGTAAAATTAAATGCTATGAAACTGGAAGAATTAGGTCAGCGTGGGCAGGCGTCCGGGCTGCATTACACACGCCATGTGAACCCCCACCCTTTGCGAAATCAGGCGTGGATTTAAAAGCATACAATATTTTCCATATTTAAATACATATTAAGAATAAGGTACTCTCTTATATATATATATATATATATAAGACCCAAAGAGCGTGATAGAGGAGCAACAGCAAGGCGTGCTTTGCGCTATAGAGAGAGAAAGTTCTAACGCTTCTAAAGAGAGGGAGGAATTGTCCGAGTTTTAGAGAGAGAGAGTGAGAGAGGGGTATGAGTGTGAAGAGTACACAGAGGAGGTTTGGTGAGGGTTGTTAATAGCGATTTGGTTGAGGAAGTGCACCTTTGAGTATTAATTGGCATTGGCGTCGTTTGGTACGAAGACCGCGTTAATTTTGGGGCTGTCTCTGCGCTTTGCTGGTTCTTTGTCATCTCCGTCCTTCTTCATAGCTTAATTGAAGTTGAAACCGAGAGTTATTTAAAGACGATCTGTTTTTGTTTGCGTTTGGTATATTTGTGGCTCAAGAAATTAAACACACAGAGAAGAAACAAAACTCAGATGGAGTGTTCTGCCTATTTAGATGAATATGAAAAGCTTGTTATACGGATGAACACTCCAAGGTCAATTTCTCTCTCTATATATATTATACACACATATATCGATGTTTCAACAATTTCCTACGCATATCAGTTCAGTCCTTGCTTTTAATTTTTCTCGCTGTTCACTCGGTGATTTTAGTCTAAACCTAGTGTTTTCTGCAATTTTTTTACTTTTCCTTCATTCATGGAATTTATGCTCTGTTTTGCTATTTTTTAGGGGAAAAATATATATATATATATATACTTTTCTTATAATTTCAAAAGTTTTTTTTTTTTTGGTATTTCTGATATATTTTCATAAATTTCTATCATTGTGTGGAAACTTTGTATTAATTCGTTTTCTGTTTGAATGTATATATTGTGTAATTAATTGTACTTACCCAAAAAAATATATAAATATGAAATTGAATTGTTTATTTATTGGTTTATTAAAATTTAAGTTTGTTTGACTATTTCTTTAATCTCTGGTCTTGTTTCTCCACAAGTGGCCTCTGATTTCTTTCTCTTCGCCTCTACTAGCCACAAATTCGGTTTCTACAATTCAAAATTTCCCATTAGAAAAAGTCTCACTGACTTGTCTTCCTCACTGCTTTCGCAGGGTCATAATTGACAACGCTGGCTGCGCCAACACCACTCGAGTCATGGTAAGCTTCTCAGAAACCCTAAAAAAGTAATGCCTCAAGACTGGGTGAAATCTTGAGTAATCGCTAATTATTTTTAATTTATTCTCTATTTTCTAATAGATTGACAGTGCGAGGAAACATGGAATTCTTCTAGAGGCCGTTCAAATTCTCACAGATCTCAACCTTTCAATTAAGAAGGCTTACATATCCTCTGACGGAAGGTATTTCATGGATGGTAAGCAGAATCAACCCACCCTTTAATATTTCTATTCATGGAAAAAAAAAAAAAAAAAAAAAAAAAAAAAAAAAGAAAATTAAATTGTCATGCTAACCTGCGCCACATTCCAGGCTTACGTTAGCAACTTTATTGAATACTCCACGTTGAATGAAAACCAGTACCTCTTGAAACTGCAATTGACGGTGGTTTCTTAATTTTTTTTATCTTGCAGTTTTTCATGTGACTGATTTAAATGGAAACAAGTTAACCGATGAGAGCGTCATCAACTACATAGAACAGGTAATTTGCTTGACTCAATTATTATTTTATTATTCATTTTTATGGAACTAAATTGAAATAATCTATCTTGAATTGCTCTAAATTTGTCACATTTTTGTATTTTACAGTCACTAGGTACAATTCATTCTACCAGTTCCAAATCATTTGAAGGCTTGACAGCATTCGAACTAACGGGAACCGACAGACTCGGCCTACTATCGGAGGTTTTTGCGGTATTAGCTGAGTTGCAATGCAATGTGGTTGAAGCTACAATGTGGACTCACAATATGCGGATTGCTTCACTTATTTATGTTAAAGATTGTGATTCGGGGTCCCCAATCGAGGACTCTCACAAAATTGATAGAATCGAAGGCCGGCTGAGGAATGTTCTTAAAGGGGATAACGATATTCGAAGTGCCAAGACATCAGTTTCCATGGCAGTTACTCACACCGAGAGGAGACTCCATCAAATGATGTTTGCAGACCGTGATTATGAACGGAAGCATATGACAAGTAGAATTAGTGATTCCCCTGTTGTGTCTGTTCAGAATTGCTTGGAGAGGGGTTACTCTGTAGTGAACATTCAGTGCAGGGATCGAACAAAGCTTTTGTTCGATGTTGTCTGCACATTGACAGACATGCAATATATAGTCTTCCACGCAACAATCAACACAGCAGGAAACCAGGCATATATGGTATATATTCGTCAACCTTTTTGTTTGCGCATATAATCACTTATTTTAACAGTGTTCTGTTACTTAACATTGTTCAATTTTGTCTCAGGAATTCTTTATTAGGCACACAGATGGAACCCCAATTAGTTCAGAAGCCGAAAAGCAGCGTGTGATTCTCTGCCTAGAAGCCGCCATTGAAAGAAGAGCATCCGATGTATTATTCTTTTGCCATCAAAAGATAACAGAATTATTATGCATTTTGTTTTGCTTTCTATAGTCAATTGAAGTCTCACAAGCTGGTTCTTTGATCACAGGGTGTGAGGTTAGAGCTGTGCACTGCGGATAGGCAAGGGCTGTTGGCAGAAGTGACCCGAACCTTCCGTGAGAATGGGCTTAATGTGACAAGGGCAGAGGTATCTACCACGAGTGATATGGCTATGAACGTGTTCTATGTAACGGATGCAATTGGGGAGCCTGCAGACCCTAAAATCATAGAAGATGTTCGAGAGAGAATCGGATTGAGTAACTTAAAAGTGAAGGAATTGCCTATGATCGATCATCAAAAGGCCGAAAAGGATGAACCCACGGTTGGGGTTGGCGGGACCGTGTTGTTATCACTTGGAAGCCTAGTGAGAAGGAATCTATACAATTTGGGGCTGATCGGGTCATATTCTTAAAAAGAATATCAAAGGCAATTTGTTGGGGATTGTCCTGTCCCACAGTTGGGCATATACTTTGCTTCAGGGTTGGGCATATGTTGTACATAAGGAAAGGAATTTACTAGGTTATCGTAGTTGTTTATAGTTGGGTGTGGTTGGTGAATATAGGTTGTGCACAGTCTCCAATTCAAATATATTGTTTTAGAAGAATTTGACTTTAGAAGATTTAAAGCAGAAAAACAATGTAAAAGTCGTTGGTTGGTTGGGTTGGGGTTGTTTCTAGCTGGCAGAGCGACAGAGTTGGTAGAGGAAAATGAAATTGGTTTTACACAGCATACATTTGTTGTACATAAAGACTTCTTTTTAGTATCAGATAGTATTCCTTTCTGGTTCACTTTATTTTTCAAGTTTCTCTTCTTTCCTTGTCTGTTTTTTTTTTTTTTTTTCCCAAATTTCTTTTTGTGGCAAGTGGCAACTCAGAAGAAATTAATGTGTTGCAATATATAAACGTTACAAGATTAATATAAAAGGTGTTTACAACTTCGATTTGATACCATATAATATACTACCAGTTGGTATTGACAAGTTGAATCGTTGAAGAATATGTTCAATAATGTAGGTTAAGAAGCTCCACTAATACTTTGGAACATATTGAAGCCTCCAAGTGAAATAGAAATAGATAGATGGTCTCGTTGCCTGTATGTGTTTGTGTGTGTACACATTGTAATTGCCTAAATAGATGTTGACAAATTGCAATTGAAAGTGGTCAAAGAAAGAGACACAGGTGCTGTTTCACGTCAATATTTTTTTTAATCAAAACCAAAGAAAACGCCATGACTACCTTAGTCAATCCCATTAGTTTTTTGCTTGCTGCTTTGCATTTATCTCCTCCCTCGTTTGATTTCAACTATAATTATATATATGTATATATATATATATATATAGAGAGAGAGAGAGAGAGAGAGAGAGAGAGAGAGGGGTAATTGTTGGTTGGCTTATTTTTTGTTTTGCAGTAATTTGTTTTAATTGAAACTGAACACTCAACCTACTGTTTCTACTCTTCCAAAACAAAGACACCGGACGGTGAAATTGTCACGGGGGCATATGGTCCTATGGAGTGATCCTAATTCATGTGCCCGTCAACTGCGCCTCATAAGGTGGGTGGCTTAGCTGGCGTTAATGTAGAGAGAGAGAGAGATTTGGAATTTAGAGAGAGAGAGAGAGAGTTGTGTGATGTGTGTGTGAATCATACAACAGACTTTGTGAATAGGAGTGTGAATTCGTTGCTTCTCTGTTTTTCCTCGTTGGCTCTGCTTTTGATGGAGTGGTTTGTGTCTATATGTTAAAAGAGCACATAAAAGCAGTTGACGGGCTCCAAAAGCACACACTATTCATTCATTGGATACATAATTTTTTCTTTTGGGTAACGTTGATACATTCTTTTGCCAAACATGTTTAGAACAACATTGCATGTAGAATTTCATAAAGCAACTAATCAACTAAGCTTTCAAGTTCCAACCCAATATTCTTATTCCTAATATATATTATTTAATTTCAATGGAGTCCAAAAAAATAAAAATTAATAATTAAAAGGTATAGTTAGGAATATTAAACAATTTTCAGCATGACATTGCCTTAAATAGCAATAGGGTTTTAAAGGTATATGCCACTAGATAGCATCAACTTTAGGCATAAAAAGGCCTTGTTATCCACTTCAGTTCACACCTCAAACATTATTTTATGCCCTAGTAAAACATATGCTTTACCGCCTTTGATGCTCACCATTTGTCCAAGATGTAAAGCTTTAACAATTGTTCTCTGTTTTTTAATTTTTAAATATTAAGTAAATCTTTAAAAACGTATTAAAATGAGTTATTTAATAAACTAATTGTAATTGCCAACTTTATTTCATGTTAAGGAATGCACTTTATGGACAACCTTTGTTGTGTTGTTATCTTCAACGATTCCTTCAAATTCCCTAAGGTTTGACACTTGTACCACAAAAGGCAAGAGAATACGAAACCCTAGTATCATTTTTCTTTATAAATCTGTTTATGCTTTTTTTTTATCTTATGAACAATAATGTAGATTTATTATTAGGCCATCATGTTGCTATTTTATGTCCAATTGAGTGAGCTTCCAGATTAGACATATAATTGGACAATGCTCTTCAGAATGAAATTTTCATCCGAATGCACGAAGGAATAGAAAATTTTTCGTTAACAATCTCGGTTATAGTATTAGGTTTGAGAATGGATTGAGCTTTCGTATTAGACATAACTGAACAACATTATTTAGAATGAAAATTATAATTCAATGCATGTGAAGGGATTTTTATCCATTGGATGCTTGATCACCTAATGCATCCAAGGAATAGAAATCTCTTGACTAGCATTCTCAATTAGACTAGTAAGTTTTAGAATTATTATTGGACGTAAATATGTTTTGAACTAATTAAAATATAGCTTAAATACAATGAATTAGCTGTAATTAACATTTGACAGGGGGATAAAATCTGTAGATATTTGCAAGCTCGAGTGTTTAGTCCTAATATAATATCATTGTTTAATTTGTCAATTAATACAAACGATTACCTAGGATGCAGCTAAACCAAATCCGGCCTCCAACTTATGAATTGGACAGCAAGAATCCAAAAACAAATTCACAATATCCCTTTAACTACCGAAAGAGGACAGAAAGTTGACCATGAGGAGAGCGTCATATATAGGAAAAGAACACTAACACTAAAGAAATGGTTGTAGTTTTCTATGTTAATCTTCATATCTTTTGGTGCATGGTCCACAAAAGCATCAATATTCCAACCTTTTTTAGGGTTTTATATTGAAGAGTTTGACTGGATTATCCAACAAATGTTTAAGAATGTGTTAATTATCAGCAACTTGTTTGTTTGCTGTAGGCTGATTCCTTTTGTACGAAGATCCAACTCTTTTTTTATGCTTGTTTGTGGCCTTTTCTGTGTTCATACAGCTTTAATCTTTTTGGTTTATGCTAAATGTGTTGGAAGGTATCTACTAATCTATTTTTTCCAAATCATGCTGTAATTATATATATATAAACTCTTTGTAATTAAGTAAAGAAGGTCCTTATCCATCTTTAGTGAAAAGAAAAATGCCAACTGCAATAGTATGTAACGACTATACAATTTCACCGTTGAACCTGTGAACCCACCATAAGAACCACAAGATTTAAAGACTGAACTTGTATAATTGCAATTGTGCATGACACAAGATTTGAACACTGAGCTGTGCATAACACACAGCTCATAGTGAAAATTAACGCTATAATTAAGGATGATCAATTATTTACATTTGGTGTCCAAAGCCCATGCGCAAGTAGGTATTTGGTTCAAAGGTTGTCCTCTCTTTCTCTCTCTTTCCATCAACTATGCATGCATGACTCTCGGTTGTCATTGTTGGTACAGGGACACTTGCAATAATAAAAATTAGTATAAAGTATCTTTAGATTTGTTAAAAAGACCCTCAAAAGAAAATTTGTCTATTTTGAGATAATAATACCTCCTGAAATTTGATACATCTATCAAAGACACCCCAGTAATAAATTAACATTTTTACCCTTTAACTTTTATACTGACTAATTTAAATGCTGAAATGACCTTTCTAACCTCATACCTATAACAATTTCTTTTCTTCTCTCCTCTCTTTGTCTCTTTCCTTAGCACCCAACACCAACACCCACTGTCCCACATATACACACACATAAAAAATGAAAGTGGAGTGTTTAAATATTGCTAGGGCACAATCATAACAAATATCCTAATGCATCTAACAACCAAAATTCATATTTTGTATATATAATTTTTCTAGTCTCACAGAATTTGACAAACACTGTAGATAGGAGGGATTGGACAATAAACATTGAAAAATTTAAAACCAAAGCCAGAAAAATTACATCTATAAAAACAATAGAAATTTCAAAACAACTTGCATCATCAAATAATAATTTAATATCATTATCAGGTGATTACCAAGTGTAAGTGTAATAATTTAAATAATAATTTAATATCATTACTAAGTGATTAATTATTACAAACTCCTAGAATTTATCATTCAACCAATCACAATATTTACTTGTAAACACATTAATTACACTTATTTATGCACTCTAAAAATATAATTTTTTGAAACAAAATTACCCTTCAACCATTTTTTTTTCTTTGCTCTCTTAATCTTTCCATATAGTAAAAATATAAACAAGCTATATAAAAACAACAAACTTGAATGAATATTTACGTAAAAAACACTTGTGTGAATCGTGTAACAAAACAAGAAAAACAAACAAAAAAAAACCTGCGTAAATTGATTCTGAATAAAAAACGAAAAAAGAAAAAAAGTAAAGGAAAAAACCCATTAGTTATAAAAAGAAATATATAAAAACAATGAACATGTTTTAGTTTCCTCATAATCCATCTTGTGTTATTAAATTCTCCAAATAACTTGGTGGGTTGATTTGATGATGCAAGTTGTTTTGAAATTTTCATTATTTTTATAGATGTAATTTTTTCTGGCTTTGGTTTTAAATTTTCCAATGTTCATGCCCAATCCTTCCTGTCCGCAGTGTTTGTCAAATTGTGTGAGACTAGAAAAATTATATCTACAAAATATGAATTTTGGTCGTTCGATGCATTAGAACATTTATTATAATTGTACCCTAACAATATTTAAACACTCCACTTTCATTTTTTATGTGTGTGTGTGTATATGTGTGACAATATGTGTGACAGTGTGTGTTGCCGTTGGGGCTGAGGAAGAGAAATTAAACAGAGAGGAGAGAAGGAAAGAATTTGTTATGGGTATGAGGTTAAAAAGGTCATTTCAACATTTAAATTAGTCAATATAAAAGTCTAAAGGTAAAAATATTAATTTATTACCATTGGGGTGTCTTTGGTAGATATATCAAATTTCAGGGGGTGTTATTGTTCCAAAATAGGCAAACTTTTCTCTTAATGTCCTTTTGACAAACCTCGGGGAGTGTTAATATACTTTACCCTAAAAATTAAAAGGCATAGATTAAAAAGAGTGTAATTTAATTTAATTTATTTATTTGTAATTAAATATTGAATTATAGTTTTGTGCTGGTTGAGTTTTCGGGTGATCTTAGTTATTGTCAATGTTAATTACTTTTCTTGTTAATTTCATCTGTTTAAAATCGCACCAGCAACTAAACAATGGCTGGTCGGTCTGCGTTGGCCAGATGGATACTATGGAGGAAACAATATCAGGTTCATGCTGGTACTAACACATACTACTATGTATATTGTAATCAAACAAATTAGGGAACAGAGGAGAAGAGAACAAATGAAGGAGAGAAAAACAATGTTACAGTTCATGAAATGGATAGATAAGTAATGCTGCTTTTCACTTTAACCTACTGTCACTAATTTGTTGCTAGCTCATCACTTTCTTCATTAACTCTTATATATATATATATATATATATTCCTAAATTGCCAAATTTGACCAAATAATACAACAGAGAGCTACTTCAAGTACAAATTTTTTGGCTCCTAATTGTCACTTTCTTTGTGTCCTTTTGCTCCTGTAAGTAGAATCTTTTTCTACATACACAACTACACACACATATGTGTGTGTGTGTGTGTATTTGGCATTTACCAATTGGTAGCCATTGAACTTTTGGGCTGACGTGAAGTGCAATAATAGGGTGGTATATTCACTGATAATGTTCCAATGCGATAGTTTGGAGATGAGAAATCGTGCGTGTCCCTTTTCTTTGTAGTATTTGGTGTTGTCTGTTTTATTAATTGACTCACATATTATCTATGTTAACTATTTACATTGACATTGAATTATTTTTAACCAATGAAATTCTTTAATAGAATAGAATCATATATAAACACATGATTCACTTTGTTGAGTTCAGTTTTGGGAGTTCTGTTACTTGATTTTACAAAACCTTCAGAGCATGTTCCAGAAAGTATTTGGCATTTATGCAAAGAAAAAACATAAAATAAAGATGTGTTGTATTTTAACTCCCGAGCATGATTTTCATACTGATTGCAGAAAACGTTTTTCATTATATCGACATTGGATGAAAAACAAACTATTCTTGTACTTTAAAATTTATTCTATCGACATTGGATGAAAAACAAACTATTCTTGTACTTTAAAATTTCATACATAATAGTTTTCTTTATCACCTCAACGCCAAAACAGACCCATCTGTTCAAAACGAAGCCCCAGTGGGCATTGCATTCAAAAGCCTTTGGGCTTTGATTCCTTTCGGTTGGGCTGTTGCTTTACTTGTACAGAATCTTATTTAATAAAACTTACCTTTTACCCAATTGTAATTTATTTTTATTTATTTATTTTTATTTTCTAACATACTCACTTCCAATCGTCTGATTTTTTTCCAAAAAGAAATCCTAAACTTTCCCGGAGTTATCGGCATCGTATTTTATGAAAATATCTGTTGGATTTTGTTCATTGAATCATTGGTAAATCCAAATTTATGTGATCCTGTTTATACATTGATATATGCATACAAATACATATGGCGATTTATTGACATGATTCGTGTTTTGTTTGCATATATATATATACGCTTCAGTTCTTTACATCTTTTATCACATAGGTTAAATTCGTAAGTATTACCTTTCATTTGTTGGTTAGAAAGGAGAAGAAATGAAAATAAAAAGGTTATAATTCATGTGTGTGTATATATATATATATATATTTTGGGTATTACAACTAGTATTAGTCAACAAGGTGGTTTTCAAGGAAAAAAAAAATTCCCATTTTTTGTTTTCAAACCAGTTTGATCATTATTATTAACATGCTCAATTCCATGTAATTGCAAAATCAAACCCATATATATATATATATATAGAAAACATAATGAGGTATTAGCAAATAGTGTTAGATGTGTTATTTGATTATGGTTTTATATTTTTGTATCTTTTAACGAGGTATTGATTTTATTAATAAGCCATTCACCTATATTTATTTATTATAATTTAATTTATTATACTAAATAAAACAAATGATATACAAATTGAAAACTTGTTTCCGAATAGGGTTTATCCTTACTCATATAGAGTAATTATTAAAATAACCAAGAAAAGGAGCGTCACGTCTAATTTTTAGTAAGGACAATATAATTTTCGATATTCTTGTGTATTAGAATGTCAAGGCTATCACTGGCATCTCTCATCTCTAAAACTAACAGTCGCATTAAGAATTTCTAATCTAGCTACACCTCTTTATATAGGCATCCTCCTTATTGGAAAACTTTATATTTCTCTATAATACTCTTAAAAAATCTAAGATATTTATAGGTATTAGAAAACTTTATATTTATCTAGAATGTTATATACCGTACATATTACAACAATAATTTAGAATCCTCCAATACTTCACAATTCTCTGCTCAAAATTATCCTCAGTCCTTGCTTGTGGTTTGGGTTGCGCAACCTCCATTCAACTTGGCTAAAATTTTATAATAGAGTGAGCCGAAATTGTAGTGATCGCTGTAACACTAGAGTGAGATTACAATTTGAAACTTAACCAAGTAATTTAAAAATTTTTAAAAGGCTTTTTAATAAACAACCTCTAACCATTACAAAAAGAACACTGAGACGGAGTAAACATTTTACCTTAGAAAAAAGAATAAAAAGAATAATAATAAATTCTGGATGATTTTAAAAAAAGGCTTTTAATAAACAATCCCTAATTCTGTGTTTTTCTTTAATTTCACAACATGCACATCTTCCCAATTTGAAGAATGCCACAAGCAAATGAGAAGCCATCTGCACTGCTGTGTTCCTAATCTTCTCACCCAAATACCAACCAAAATACTGTAAAATAATGCAGGTTGAAACTCAACTACAAAAGTGAGATCTCCATATCATGTGTTCAAATGTGACTATGGCAACAAGGTATTGCTTGAAACATAAGAGTTATCATCTGCTTTTCTGAAACATTAAAAGTGGATTTGCTATTTTATAGACCAAACCTGGTAATATATTTAACAAACATGCTTAGCTATTTCCCCTACAAGAACATCTGAAGACCATTTACACACATTTTAGCGGTTTTTTTGACAGCCATTCATCAAAGAAGCTTTTAGGGAAGTGTTGGTCCATGCTGTTTTGGTTGCTTCCATTGCCATGTAAAGCAGTCGATTAACACTCGAAAGGCCATGGAAGCAACCAAACATTTTCAGCAGCAACATGCTTTGGTTGCATTTCATTTTAAGGATTCATGCAATTCGTTACCATGTAGACATGCATATGTAGTAAAATGAACCAAATCCCTAGCCAAGGGGTTTTGTTAATTGTGAATTGAGGATCTGGTAGTGAGAGATGACCTCATGTCTACAATGGCAGATTCATCTGCACCCAAGTTGATGGCCTCTTTGCTTGCTCTGATGAACCTTGACACGGCACCCCCCACGTACTCATGAGCTTCCTTCACACTCATTTTCTTACTCATCTCATCTGGGAAGCTACTCAAAAAGTGGTCACCATTAAGAACAGCAGCCAATTGGACTACCTCACTCTGAAACTCAGACAACCCCCTATTCTCATCCACTTCTGTCATTCTCAAAGGAGCCACATCTGGCAGGACCTCTGCAGCCAATTAACAGGACGTAATCATATATATATATATATATATATATATATATATTTATTTATTTTTAGGTAAAAGCTTACAGAATAAAACTAGTCACCTGAAACCAGTGTGAATAATTAATTTGTGAATATTCTAAACATTGTGATTTAACTATAGCATGATTCAAAAAGCTACTTGATGATTTATGATAACAAACCTATATTTATGTTTCTGGTTTATCCCTAGGATTGTTCATATGAACTATGCTAATTCATTTTCCTCCTTTCACCATTATTTTAAGTTCAACATGCTTCTTTGCCAACTTGAATTGACCAATCAAAACTCAAATTTCTAATAAGTCTTAGCAGCAAGCAATTCTCAAAAACGATAATTTTAAAATGGTGAATGGGTTAGAAAGATGAATACCTGGGCAATCAGTTCTGGGAGAGGTTAGCTCCCCAACAACCTGCTCGAATGTGCCAGCCCAAGCATCTCTGTGAGTCAAGAAGTTAGACGAGAGGTTGAACATTTTCTTTATTGTAGCAGGTATTGAAGAGTGCTCGAACTCAGAGTTTGGAGTAGGACCTGTGGGGCGGCTTATCACTACATAACAACACAGAACAAACAATTTGCAAAGTAGACATTACAACATTAGAACAAAAGGCGAAATATAGAAAATATTAAGTCCACTATGAAGTTGATAATGTTTAATCAAGTATTAACACAACCATATGCCCTCTAACTGGCTTAATAAAATGTTTTCATCACAAATCGTCATCTCAAAACCATATTCACTCACCATTGGTCCATTAGTCCAATTGGCAAAACGGCAAAACCTCTTCCCCCTCAAAGAGGAAGTGAGTAGTTTGAGCCTCATGGTAGAACATTTGTGAGGGTGTGTGTGAGTACTTGCCTAATCGAGAATATATATATATATATATTCACTCAATCTAAACAATCACAATCAATTTTTCGGAAGAAGACTATTGCCAACAAAGCAAATCAGTCAAATTAAAGGCATTACATTCTTAAACATCAAGTCCAATTGAAAGTGTAATTAAAGCAGTCATGTTTTGGTGTGAGGGGTGCAAGTAGACATTGAAGGAGAATACTTGACATTGAGAAATCAGCAAACATATACAATTATGTCTACCAACATTGCTATCAAACTTATCCCCAAAAAATAAAATTATAAAAAAAAACATTTCTATACCAAAAATAACAGAATTCATTGATCATGAAAAGGTAAGAAATACCCAAAATTTCAAAATTGAGCTTACCTTTTCCTTTCTTGATCCAAGGAGAGACCATAATTGTGGGCACACGAACCCCGAGCCGATCAAACTTGAAGAAAGAGGGAGCAGGCCCAGTGTTCCCATCCGGGTTGGGGACATTTTCATATGGAGTCTTGACATGGTCGTAGAATCCACCATGTTCATCATAAGTAATCACCAAAAGGGTCTCATTCCATTGAGGACTTGATCTCAATGTCTCATAAACCTCCTTCACTAGCTTCTGCCCATTAGCAACATCATGGGATGGATGGTCATCATTTGCAGGCAGTCCCTTTAGATCAAAGTAGCTCGGCTCGATCACCGTTAAGCTAGGCAACTTCCCATTTCTAGCATCTTTCTTGAACTTCAAATTATACTGATGAAACTTAAATATATACTTCAATTTCCTCAAATTTCTATAGAACAGAGTTGTGGGTATGTTCTGAAAGTAAATACCAAAGTCTAATTTGTTCTCATGTAGTGAATCAAATATGGTGTGTTGTGGGTACCCTTTAGCTAATTGCTTCTTGACATGGCTTGTTGATCCATGAGAAGTTGCTGAGTACACAAACAGTCTGTTGGGTTGCGTTGGGCCAGGAATTGAAGAGAACCACCGGTCAAAAACTGCGAATTCGCGAACCAATGTCGCGAAAACCGGAACATTTTCAGGCTTAAACCCTTTCATGACAGTTTCTGAGAGGTTTTGTGACATGGACAGTGCTTGTTCCACAAACCCAGACATTGAAGGAAGTGTAGAAGAGCCAAATACCTGTTGTTCCACAGCTTCGAATGAATGACCCGGATCCGGATCCACGTACTCAGCATCATCTGTGAAGCAGATCGATTCTGTCATTTCTGTGCTTTGGGCCTTGGTTGAAACTGGGTTACATTCTTTTCCGGTGACACCATTGATTGATGGGTTGATGGATTTTTTCATCCACCCAATCATGTGATCAAAAGATCTGTTCTCCAGAACCAACACAACAATGGTCTTGATGGGTTGTTGCTCAGTTGCATTTACCAAATGGATGGGTTGGACAACGGCTGAAAGAGTGAGAAACAGCAAGAAAATGGAGGAAAATGGTGGTAATCTGGATTTCAACCTTCCCATGCTTGTTAATTTCAATATATTTGCTTCGATATATGAGAGAGAGAGAGGGCTTCCACTTTTACTGGTAGAGAGTACAGAAATGGAATTACAAAAATGGAAACGGAAGCAAAGGAAGATGCTGGTGTTATCAGCTTCAGTGTGCTCTGTGCAATCAAGAATTAAAAGAATATAAAATATGATATTAAATTATTAATCTTACTTTGGAGAGCTATTAAGTGCAGGGATAATTTGGATTAAACGTGGCCCAATGCTTCCATATCTTTAGCTAATTCTGTTGTATAAGAAAAATGATAATCATGATATCAGGTTTCAAGTACCATCATTATAGTTTTTGGTTAATCATTTAGATAGTTGGACGAAAATGGACTTGTTAACGGTGTCATTGCAAGAAAAACTCACCAAATTGATGCTAATTATTACTAGAAAGAGAGTATATATTTTGAAGCCTTGGCTAAGAACTCTGTCAATTAAAGAATTCAAAGTCATTAGGCACAGAAAAAGAGAGACTAGTGACTTTATTAAAGGTTAAAACCCACTAAACTACTAAAGTGTTGATTTTGATGGGATAAAGGTCTCAAATCATAGTGTTCTCACCTTAGTTAGTTAATGAATCTAGTACTACCAATCAATCTAACATAATCTAAAACAGCTTTGAGATATAAAAGCACAACTCTAAAGTAAACTGTGACAGTATTGCATTTCACTTCAAACATTGATGTCACATTCATGAATAGAATTAGGATTTGAACAAAAAAAAAAAAAAGTATAGAATTGGGATGCATGTGATTTGAGACTGCAATGGGTGGCCACTTTTTGATTATATATATATATATATTGTGTATGGGAATCTACTCATCACGGCCCACGGATTTCATATCATTTTAAAAGAAGGCAAGAAGCACAACAAAATTCATTATTTATTACTACTATCATCATAATGTACCTATAGTCGGTCGGTCAAAAACAAAATGGAAAGGTGATGAGCAAAAGTCAAAAATTTCCACGAGAAAATGAAATAAAACAGAATTGGGTCAGATAAGATGGACCACCCACCCACATCTTAATTCTTGCAGTTCCAAATCCCACCTAAACCGGTCCAAGAGGCCCACGCCACAGCTCGACGCCACACGTTCTTATATTGTTGGGTGTGGTGGTCCATAGTTCAGATTCTAAAGCGGCCCACTTCTCTCCTTCTTAAAACCGACTTTCAAATTAGGGCACAAATTCGTATGTAAAACATACTAAACAATGTACCTCCAACTCACGTGAATAAAAAAGACAAAACCGTAACATTTTCAATGTTTGACATATGGTACATAAATTGAAATTGTTGATTGAAAATTTGGTAATTTGTATACCTTTCATGGGGTTCTGACTCGTGTTACATGACTTCGGTGTATACTTGTTCATTTATGTAAAAATTCAAATTATTAAATAGTGCTCTATACACATTCATTTATACCCAATCACTTTTTTATTCGAATTCGATGTGGGACAAATGATTTTTGTAACTCTCCCACATCCGAACTTGTAACGCCATCGTTGCGATTGGATCACCCTGGATAGTTCACCTGAACGCCTTTCAAGTCGGACGCTTGGCGTGGCACCGAATCAAGAATTGAGTCGGGCTCTGATATCAACTGTAACAAGTCGGTACTTGTCCATTTACCCAAAAACTCAAGTTATTGGGTAGTACTATATACCCACCCATTTATACCAAATCACTTTCCTATCTAGATCCGACGTGAGACAAATACCTTCATAACAACTTGAGATATGTCACCTCTTTTGCAATTAATGAAATGTTTTTTTTTTTTTTTTTCAAAAATTGTGGTTATATTGACATCGAAATGGAACAATCATAGCTTCAGAAGTTTGATTAAACAGAATATATGAAGGTCTTGAAAATATAGATATAGATATATTGCGGAGAAGTTGACACTCTTGGTGACAGAGAATTAAGCTTGTTCCAATTAAGGTGATTTGGCAACTATAATCAGTTGATCGACAATCTTGGCAGTCCAGTGAAACAATTTGAAAACTTTAGTTGTCACCATTTTATTGATTATAAACAATTCCAAATGTTCAGCAAACTCCAAGAACCTTGGTGACAAAGAATATATGGTTCTAGACAATCACACATCATAGTCAAACAATGGATTCGTCAGCCTTAGAATTCTTCTAAGCCAGTTGCAATTCCTTCTTGTTTCAAATATAAAGTATATTTAGCAATAATTAAATGCCAATTTTCCTCAAGTATGCTAGTAAACCTAATCCAGCAGCTAGAGCTGCCCCAGCTGCAACAGCGCTGTATGCAGAAGCCCATGCATCTGCATTTGCATAATCCATATCTCCGGAGCTGGAGCCCCTTCTCCGACCACTTGTTACTGAATAATCTAAATGCAATCTCAATCCCTGTTAAAACACAATCATCACTCATTTTATAAGATAAACAGCCACTAAGTATTGTCCTCCAATTGTATTTTAGTTTTTTTCTTCTGATTTGATAGTAGGATCAAGAGAAAGATCTATCATACCTTCCAACCAGTTAACTTGGCATGTTCCACAGCTGTTGCAAGATCACTATCTGACGCGAGTACAACCTTGTCAAGATCTTCGTCCTCATACTACAGTGTGGTTACCATTTAGCTAGCATCAAAATTTGAAGTAAAAAAATTGAGAATTTGAACATATATGATGTTAGTGTGTACCAAAATCCGAGGCAGATTGTTGCGGTCAATGTCATCCCCCATCCTCTGAAGGATCGCGGTTATAAGGCTCGTCAAACTCTGAACATCTGATCTCAGAAACAGGAACAGGAAATACAGTGAACCAAAAATTATTAGGTAAGTATGTGTGTTGTTGTGTAAGCGTCCCCATGTCGAATGACATCATAATTCATGTCTAGAAGGAAGCCTTGCCCAAATGTAACAAAAAGAACTTCAATATTTCTATTAAAGTTTCTTCTATACAACTGAGGAAAAAGGGCAATGCTACACATCTGGTTTGTGTAATTGAAACATATAATAAGATAGAGTAGCAGTGAACTGAAGTCTAAAACTTGGAGAAACTAGAATCAAATTATGAGCTGCATGTGCAGAACGGGCAATGTCATATATACAACTATACGGTGGGTACGAAATGTGACAAGAAAACAAGAAGCATACCACAATTGAACCTATGAATTTGGCCCCTTTTATCTTGAATTTTGAAAGCAAACGTAGTAGGCAGGCCTGACGAAGTATAGGAAAGATTTCTCCCAGTCTCTGCCCCTTCAGAAGCCATTTGCAAGGAACCATTGCTGAGATGTCACCAAATAGTATTTTAGTAAATATACGTAAGAAATCAGAAATGTATCGTCATACTGAAAGAAAATTCTATAACCTGCGCGTCTCTTCCTCATCATCCGAAGGACTCAATGCCATGGCAGAATCCCAAAACTTTTGCATCAGAGTGTTCGAGGCCTCATTACTAACTCCAGCAGTACTTCCCACCTTGTTGATCAGGAAACAACCGTATTACTCTCCACAAATTACAAAGGAAAACGAGGAAAAAATAAGAATGTTCAATATAGAATTCTAGTTGAGTCCTTAGTGCTGTATTTTAAAATTTTAATGATTAATTACTGTGCATTGTTAACTATCTTTTGATAAGATTACATCACATAAAAATGAATGAAATTTATTAACAGAAAATCTGTAAAATGATGAGAAGTACTAGCAGATGCAAAACCCGAATTGCAGATTGGCACACATGTAACCCTAAAGATAGGTTTCTCTCTTTAGGGCAATGAGAGAGTGATTTCTAATGTTTTTATGCTACAAAGTTAAAATTCATGTCTTTTCAGTATTATTTCTAAGAAGTCAATCCTGTTGAGCTTTTGATGATCACAGAAAGGTAAAAACTTGACTTACAGTGGCAACAGCAGCCTGAGTGATATGGAGCACATCAGTCACAGCAACTACAATTCCATCTGTATCAAGACACCTACACTGATCAGAAACCATTATGAAAAATCACAAACTTCTATACAACCTTTTGACTTGGTAAATTTACCACTATCAACTACAGGAAGGTGTAAAAATTTCCCATCATGCATGGTATGCAAAGCATCAACAATGGGTGTATCAACTGTCGCACATTCTGGATTTGGGGTCATTACCTATATATTAAAAGCCATGATGCCCAACATCAAAAAAATTATTAATAAATCCATAAGAAAATCATAAATATGATATCCTCTCAGGAAATAGCAGATAAACTTATGAAAGTTGTACCAAGAACGGATAAAATACATTTGGAAGTATTCAGAAGAACCCATTAAAAACAAATTGCCATTAGAACGAGACAATTACCTTCTCCACTAGAGTGGACTCTGGAGGAAGATTTTGTGCTATTAGCCGCATCAAGATGTCCTTTGTACTAAAAGAAAATGTAGAAGACAAAAAGAATAATTGAAGTTTATACATTATAGCACTTTTGGAAATATGTGTGTTTCTTCCTTTGAACATAAAACCAGATTTGCATTGTTTAATTCAAATGAGAAGAAACTCACGTTAGAATTCCCCGTGGTTTGTTTTCAACTGTTACAACTGCAGAGCTTACTCGACACTCATGCATCTTCTTAGTTGCCATTAGTACCGTGTCAGTAGGTGAGACTGTTACAATCCTGACAATGCCACAATCAGTATGACAAAGTAACTTGTAGCATATTAATCTGAGGAATTTTTGTTAACAAATAAAGTACCATATTGAAAAAATAATATGAAAAAAAAGAAGATATTACCTACTTTGAATTCTCAGAAATGATTGTTGACAAATAGGGCCTAAACATTCTCTCTCGAAGTGTTTCCATGAATGAATTAGGACCTGTATATCAACCAAATATTGACTAAAATGAAAAAGTCATGTCCCCTGAGAAGACCAAGTAAATAGATACCATCAACAACAAAAATAGAGAAGCTATAACCTATCAAGGGAAAAACAAAAAGAAAAAAGACACAGAAAGTATTACAAAAGAAAATCAAAACAAAAAGGATAAGCATCTCTTCACCAACCAGAAAAAGATGTTCCCCAGTGTTTTTCAACACCTTCAACAGCTGCCGCAATGGCCTTCCCTTTTTCGGCTGCCCTTTCCATGCGAGCAATGGCATCATACAAACATTTTGCTATATCAAGTAAAGCAATGACTTCTCCATTCTCAACAACAGGCAAATGTCTAAATTTCCCTATGAACAAAAATATCATTACCATATTCAGTGGGCAAAAATAAGAATATAACATTTGAAAAAAATACCATTTTAGTCTCCCTTTTTTTTATTAATACCTTGCACCATCTTCTGCAAGGCTTCCACAGCAAGAGTATCAGAAAGAACAAACACTGGGTTCCTCGTCATAACCTTTGAAGCGGGTGTGTCTTCAAGATTAAGCTCACGAGCAATAACTCTTGTTGCTATATCCTTCAACCAAAAAAAAAAGTTAATAAACACATATTGTAAAAGATTCTTGCAATCAATATGCTTAGCAATGTATGATAGAAGTGGTTCAAGTCAAACCTTAGCCGTCAAGATTCCACACAGTAATGCATTTGAGTCAGTCAGCAATAAAGCATCAACTCTACGAGCAGCCATCCGACGACAAGCTTCATATAAACTCGTAGAGTCAGGTATTGTCAGGGCCTTCGACAGCCTCAATCGCCTCACTGTACGCTCTCCAGTTAGTCCCCTGCTCCATGTACAAGTGAAAACGGAAAACTTTAGTACTACAAAGTCTACAAGTATAACATGAAGTTTTGATTTAAAATTTTAGACCTTTAATTTTTCTTCTATTTAGTGGTGAGGTAGGCTGTGTTTGCATGCATCATACTCTTATGCTAAATACTTATTAGATTAATTAAGTTGTAGCATAACACATGACATTCTATGATTTAATCTCTTTGGCAATTCCCTCTATCAATTACAGTTTCGAAGGTTGATGTCCCTCCCATGAGAAAAACTACAACGGTGAAATTTTCTATTGGTGAATCCATAGAAGGGCTGAGTTGAGATCACTCAATTATCTTCTCAATAATACCCAGTGTAATCCAAACTCAAAATAACATAAGTAAAAGAATCTCCTAATTCAATAAGCTCGGGCATCTCTAAAGGACCACCTAACAGTTTGCGTCCCAATTTATCATAGAAATCAATTCTAAATCTCGAGTTAAATTTTTAACAGTGGCATTTCAATGAAAGAGTAGCATATGCTCTGAAATTCAATGAAATATAGTTTTTTTTCAGTACAGTTATGTAATATTAAATTCCAGTTTCTCAGTATAGTTTTTTTCAATGAAAATGCAGTATAAGTATGCATTTACGGAAATACACTAGCACATTAAAGAAATGTGTAACCGGCCTGCACAAATCATTAAAATAAAGAAGAAAACAAAATGAAAGAAAATAAAAAAAATTTGGTGATTGATTTAAAAAAATTAATAAATAAAGAAGAAAATGGAGACTGCCATTTATCTCCATTTTTATATTTCCCATTCTACATGAATTAAACACTTTCGCTAATATAGGAAATATGCATGCACAGATATTTAATCAAACAAGAAAATATAGCATAATTGTATTACATAAACAAACACGTCTGTGTATAAAAAAACGTACATGGAACGAGAAGACATAGATTTTCTAAAAGAATTGCGGGCTCCATTCTCGAGAGCTTTCTTCTTCGGCATTGACGATGAGCTCGTCAAGGAACTTTTTCTGGAAGAACTTCCATGACTCGACCTCATTTTTACCTGCCAAACACCACAACGTCCCACGAATATGGCCAAAGATTACAACAACAGCCCCAATTATCTTGGTCACATCAAAGGTCGATTAGCAATTAATTGATAATTACTCAATTCTTGATGAAGATCGTAGTCCAATTATAATGATATAAATTGAAACTCCGACGAGGAAAATAAATGATTTAATCAATCGATAGGTTTATGCGTCGGCAAGTTTGAATAATGTGGAAGTGAAAGGATCGGTCGCTGCGGAATTGCAATCTGAGAATTGGACTTTCCCGGGAAAATGAGTCTGCATTTGTGACGACCCACCCCCGGAAAATTCACCGACCGGAAAAAAAGTGGCGGGTGAGAGCGAGAAAACAGAGGGGACCTGATGAAATAGGGTGGTGTTATTGCAGTCGATTTATTTTGAGGTATACGAATTACGGGCGCGCTAGCCAATAACATTCGTCCACGTCAGAAGATTGTCTTCCAATTTTAGAAGAAAATTGAAAGGCTTCCCATACTCCATGAAGCTGCGTAAAAAAAAAAAAAAAAATCATGAGAAGAAGATACTACTAAATTAGTTCAAACCTTCAAAAGTATTATTGTATATTATTTAAATAATATTAAATTGAGAACTGGCAATTTTATTTTAGATCATATATCCTTTTTCTTACTCAAAATTTTATTATAATTCTTTCACACAAGTGCTATTTTCTCAAATGATTCTTGGATCGTGAATTATTTTAATGAAGGGTGACATCCACGCTTTATAAATAAGTATTTTACTTCACTCTTCAATGACACGATATCATTTTATCTAAAATTAATAAATCAAACTTTTATGAGTTTATGCACAATTTTATTATTGTCTTAAATAAATAAAATAAAATAAAATAAAAAGTATCTTAGTAGAAAAGCCAAGTGCAACTATGGTTTCGTATAAAAAGTAAAATACTCATTTATAAAAACTACAGCAATTACTCAGATAAATTACTTAGAGTAAATTGTCAATATATTAATTCTGTTTTTCAGCACATTAAAAAGTGACTAAAACCGATATATTTAATATTTTAAAAACCCTACAAGGCCGTGCTATAACAACGTAGTATTGTACTCCAACATGGCAAGGTGGGATGTATGGAATTATTTAGGGAAGAGATGCTCAACTCTATTGAAAAGCAATGAGCTGATTTGCTGCATGCGGATGCCTTTCTTGAAACAAAAGAGAGAAATGAGCCTTTGCGTGAGAGAGACTCTGTGTTCCAATATGCAATAATTTAAAGCTGTCAAAGGAGTGGATTGAGTATGTAGTGCGAAAGTATCTCTATATGCCACAGAACATTGAGTGAAGGACAGAGAGATATATGCTCAACTTCTTTTGAAGCCTTCTTTGCCTAATTATGGTGCCTCTCTTGAGAAACAAGCATTTGAATTAATATATCTTATATGACCTATTTGCTTGGTAACATCATCATTCACATATCCACTAATTCATCAATTTATACTTAGCAGAGGTCCAGCAATGGTGGACTGGGCACCCATATTAATTGGGTTCCTGCTATTCATACTATTGAGTCCAGGGCTAGTCTTTCAGATCCCAGGGAACACCCATCATGTGGAGTTTGGCAGCTTCAAGACCAACGGCAAGGCCGTGCTTCTCCACACTCTCCTTTTCTTCGCTGTCTTCACTATTCTAATCTTGGCTGTTGGTATACACATCCATACTGGCAAATAAGGTGACCCAAACACCTAACATTACTCATCCTCGTTTATAATTATGTTATGTTTGGGAGTAATGAATCAGTGCTTTGGATTTAATTCAGTTCAAAATTTAACTAAATTTCTTGTGATTCTAAACTCAAGTCGCCGCGGATTCAATACTTCGCACTAGTGATTTTGATGTGAGTTCTTAAATTTGATGTGGAATGCATTGTTGCCTTTTTTGTGCCTTGTTCATGTTTCAATGGTACAACTTTTATACCCATCAATCCTTCAATAGTGTGAGTCTTGATTTGTTCTTATTTAATGATATTTGTACATTTTCATACAATGACATGACAAAAGTACGGTTGAAAATGTAAGAATACTCCTTTAGAAATTAGAATCAACTATATATATACTCTCACTGTTGCCGTATAAATTGTCTTTTGAAACATGTTATATATGTGAGCAATGATAAAACTTTCGAATTTAGAAATGTATTATTTTTTTTTAAAAAAAATTAATTATTTAGAATAATGGAATTTTAAAAGGAGAAGGAATTTGATGGGATTTTAAAAGAAAATTTATAAAGTAAAGAAATTCGAGAAAAAATGATAGGATTTGAAATATAATTACAACATTATCATTTTATTTACTTTTTTTAGTCTCTAATTCTAAAAACTACATCATAACGTCATGTTTCTTTATCCTAAATTGGTATAAAGCTTGTTTTATTTCAAATTTTATTTTATAATTTCTTGTTTATTTGAAATACAAAAATAAAATGTTCCTGTAATCCCTCTCATGATGATTATTATAAGGCAATTGTTGAGATGAATGGGTTAAGCTTAAATGTTTTGACTTCGACTCAACAATCCTTATTGGATCTTATAGATCATATCCAGGATCCTCAAATCAAGATGAAAGTCTTTGAAATAGGTTCTGCTCTGACACGATCTAATGAGAATACAGATAATCCAGATTTTCTGAGAGCAGAAAATCATTACAGCATGAAAGAAGTTCTCAGCAGATTAGAACACCAAGGACAAAATTCTCATCCTGCTAATCTCCCTGATCTCAGAATGGAGATTAATCTTTTAAAAGAAGAAATTCGTCAATTAAAGTCTCGTCAGACTAAGATGGATTTGGAAATTACTCTTTTAAAAGCACAATCTGCAATTACACCTTCATCATCCCAAGATGAAGTCCCTCAATCAGAAGGTACTAATTATCTTCAACTCTTGAATCAAGTTACTTACCAAAAATGGTATATATCTATCAATTTGGTAATTAATCAGGAGTACACAATCACTAATGCAATTGCCTTAGTTGATAGTGGCGCAGACATGAACTGCATACAGGAAGGATTGGTTCCTACTCAATATTTTGAGAAAACCACTCAAGGTCTTACCAGTGCAAGTGGAGGTAAGATGCAGATTAAGTATAAACTTAATCATGTTTTCATTTGTAAAGAAGGTATTTGTCTACCATCTACTTTCTTACTCATCAGAAATATGGCACAACAGGTTATTTTGGGTACTCCCTTTTTAGCCTTAATCATGCCAATTGAGAAAATTGATTCTCATGGAATATGCTCTAATTTACATGGCCAGTCAATTACTTTCCAATTCTTGACCCCACCAGTAAATAAGCATATCAATACTCTTAAAGATAACATTATCTTTAAGGAAAAGCAACTGAATTATTTGCAAAAGGAGGTATCCTCCTTAGCAATTAATCAAAGATTGGTACAACCCACTGAGCAACAGAAAATTGAGTCACTACGACAAAACTTTCTAAAGGAAATCTGTAGTGAGATTCCTAATGCTTTTTGGGCCAGAAAGAAGCATATTGTTTCTTTACCCTATGAAAACGGATTTACCGATCGCATGATTCCTTCTAAAGCTAGTCCCAGCCACATGAAAGCTGACTACTTGAAATTATGTAAAACTGAAATCAGCTCTTTAATGGCAAAGAAGCTTGTCACTACTAGCTACTCCCCCTGGAGTTGCAGAGCTTTTTATGTCAATAAAAATGCTGAAAAAGAACGAGGAATTCCTCGATTGGTTATTGATTATCGGCCACTCAATCTTGCTTTGAGTTGGATCCGATACCCAATTCCCAACATCAAAGATCTTTTAGATAGGTTACAATCTGCTGTAATCTTTTCTAAATTTGATCTTAAATCTGGATATTACCAGGTACAGATTGCAGAAGAGGATAGGTACAAAACAGCTTTTTGCGTACCTTTTGGACAGTATGAATGGACAGTGATGCCATTTGGATTAAAAAATGCCCCTTCAGAATTTCAACATATTTTGAATGACATATTTAATCCTTTTACTGAATTTTCTATAGTTTATATTGATGATATTCTTATATTTTCCAAATCAATCGATCAGCATTATAAACACTTGAAAATTTTCAAACATGTTATTTACCAAAGTGGTTTAGTAGTTTCTACTCCTAAACTAAAACTGTTTTTAACTAAGGTCAGATTTCTTGGTCATGAAATTTGCGATAAGAAAATTAGACCTTTTAATCGCAGTATTGAGTTTGCTTCTAAATTTCCAGATGAAATTAAGGATAAAACTCAGCTTCAAAGGTTTCTGGGTAGTTTGAATTATATTCGAAATCACTACAGAGATCTTACACAGGATACAGCAATTTTGTACACCAGGTTAAGGAAATTTCCTTCCCCATGGACTTTGGAACACACCAAGGCAGTTCAGAAGATTAAACTCAGAGCCAAACAAATTCCTTGCTTAGCTCTAGCCAATTCTTCATGGTTCAAAATTGTGGAAACAGATGCCTCCAATATTGGATACGGTGGTATTCTTAAACAGAAAAATCCGAACACAGGAATAGAGGAGCTTGTTCGCTTCACTTCAGGAACTTGGAAAAATGCACAATTAAATTATTCAACCATCAAAAAGGAAATTCTTTCTTTGGTTAAATGCATTTATAAATTCCAAGATGATTTAATCAATCAGAAATTCTTGTTACGCATTGATTGTAATGCTGCTAAACAAGTACTGGAAAAAGATGTAAAGAATTTGGTCTCCAAACAGATATTTGCTGGTTGGCAAGCTGATTTATCTGCTTTTGATTTTTCTATTGAATATATTAAAGGCAGTTCTAATTCTTTACCTGATTTTCTAACTCGTGAATTTTTGCAGGGTTCATGAATCCGCCCCCCCATGGGCAGGGCCGGGGTAATACTCCAAAGGCTCGTGGCAAAAACAAGGCTAAGGCCAAAGTGGTTATACCCTCACTGATGATCAATTTCCATATTTGGAGCATGTTGCTGATCTGCTCAACACACCTTCTAAAGGAAGCAGCAGTACCCAGCAAAAACAACAGAAACCAACCATGAAAGAGGTTCTTGAACAAGAAACTCCATGGATACCTAATCAAAGGTATATTCAACCAGTATTGGTACTGGATTCTCAGGATGAGCAATGGATGCCAGATCCTTGGGAAGTAAAATCCAGATATTTTCAAACTCAACAATATGCTGCACCGGATGGTCGCCATAGATATATCTATGAAGCTATTCTTACTGAAACTTCCTCTGTGGAGATTAACCACACGAAGCAATTTCCGAATTCCAAAGATAGTCCTCTTACTTATAGTAAAGCTATCTTTAAGAGGCTTATACGACCTAGTGACTGGGGATTAAATCCTAATTTGCCAAGGAAAATATCCTATGGTCACAGTTACAATTATTGGGATTATATCTCAGCTTGGACATATTCTTTCTTTTATCAAAATCAGAAGCCTAAGCATTCTTGGTTCTTCAAGATATGCCCTCAATCAGTTAAGACTGATTTCCCAAACTGGGTTATACCCTGGTGGGCTATATTTGGCCCTGATCTGGATATGTTGCCCGAATCAATCAGACAATTATACTTGCCATGGCAACAATTTCATCCTCAATTACGGGGACAGGATAATATTCCTGTAGGGAAATCCACCCTATTGTTCTTTACTGAATTTGGAATCCCTTGGATTTGGAAATGGGATTTCCAATGTGGTTATACCACTGACAAGTTACCAGTCCTTCAGAGGATCTTTTATTACCGATGGTGATCAGGCATGACTCAAGATCCTATCCAAGCCCTCCTCCATCAGATCAGAAAGAAAACACTGGAATACATGGATAAGATTCCAAAGTTAACTATTCCAGAACCCGAAATCTTTAACCCATTTGAACTTGTTAAAGATATGATCAGAAAACAACAACCATTAATTACCGAAGCTGATTTAATGGTTAAATGCATGGATTTTATGAGGACCAAATTTGTTAAATCTTTTGATTCCTCCACACCCACAGTACGAGATGATGCATCCATGGTGTCAGTCTCTAGCCAGACCAGTCAAGAAGGTAATCAGTTTTCCTGTCTAGCTGGTTATGCACAAGATCCCAATGAAGATCTTATTTCTGAAGATGAGCCTACAGTAGCCGACTATTGGGACTCTCTCACCAGTCACTTAATGGACAAGATGAATCCACCTAAAAAGTAAAAGATTCCTCTTATCCTGCCGACAGAAGAAGCCAAAGAACTTTTCTCAAAAGTCTTTGGTTCTACAGTATTTCCTTCATCAGATATCCACTTTCCATCCGATAAGGCGACAGAACTTAGTGGTGGGCCGACCGATTGCATTATTCCAGCACACGATCCCATGCACTATGCGGACTTCAAAATGATAATTTCAAGTCCATTTTATGTATAAATAGAGGACAAAGTTTCCTTTCAATGTATCTTTCAATTTCTTTTTCTCTCTTTTGTAATATTTCTCTGTACTAGCTTGGAAGTTCAATAAAGAAGGTTTTCTGTAAGTCTGTTTACATTATTCATAGTTCTGTAAGTCTGTTCATAATTCTTATTATTGTTGTAATTATTATTAATCATACATCGATCTAAATTCTTTATATTGATCCTGTTGAAATTCAGTATTAATGGCATTATTTGGTATCAGAGCCATGATGGCTTAACTTTCCATTGTTAATGCTTCACAAGTACTGGAAAAAGATGTAAAGAATTTGGTCTCCAAACAGATATTTGCTGGTTGGCAATTTGAAATACTAAAATAAAATTTTATTTAAATATAGTCCAATCCATAATTCTTGGTTCTTTCAAATACTCAAATAAAATTTTATTTAAGTACAATCCAATTCATTTTTCATTTTCAATTTCAAATTCCAAAGAATTTGGTTTAAACAAAGCATTAAATGTTATTAAACTCATACAACAAATCAGTCGCATGCATTTGGTGTTGTTTATTGTCGTTTTGAGCAGGGGCATGAAGTGATGAAATCAAGTGAACACGTGAAAGGTCATTGGGACGATCCCCTAACTGATCCGACCCGGACCCGTTAACTCACCACAATAAAAACAAACCAAAATTAATGAAGCAGATTTGTACTGGTAGTATTATGCTTATCTTAATCAATAGTCATCCCATCTCAAGAAGATCACAATCGTCAAAAATCCAAATCCAGACATTGACACGCTTCCCCATAGTAACTCATTATCTGTCAAGACAGCAACGACTTCAATGTATCTGCCCATGCTTGGCTTCTTCTTCATTCATAAATCCCTAATTGACTCCCATTGACTGAAAGAAAACTTCCTATTGACCCCTCCGAATCTGGATTTTATCTAACCCTTGATTTCTCTCTCTAAAAGGAAAGGAATGGCGGACTGGGGTCCTGTGTTGGTGGCGGTGGTGCTGTTCGTGCTGTTGACGCCAGGGCTATTGTTCCAGATGCCGGGTCGAAACAGGGTGATTGAGTTCGGGAACATGCAAACCAGTGGTGCTTCCATTCTGGTCCACGCCGTCATCTACTTTGGCCTCATCACCATCCTCCTCATCGCCGTTGGCGTCCACATCTACGCCGGCTAATTACCCTTCATTTCTCTATTTATCACATCGATCTGCTCTTATTTTTGTTGTTGATTCGGAACTTTGCTTCGAATTTTTTTTTTAAAATTAGGCATTGTGTAATTGTTTTCTGGAATTTATAGATGTTGGAGATACATTGGAGATAAGTAAGCTTGTGAATGTCAAATGATCCTTAATAGACTAGATCTTGGAGATTTCAGGTGTGTGGATTGTGTCCATTGTAGTTGTTAGCTTTCTGTTTCCATTCTTCCATCACCACACGACTAATTGGATCTGAAATCTTCCTTGGGAAAGAAAGCAATATTGCAGAATATTTTCCAAAATAGTTTTTTTTTTTTTTTTCAAAAATCATGTTTTCAAAATGGTGACCATGGAAGAATGTGAGTGGTAGTCTCATAGTATGTGTCAAAATATTGAGTCATTCGCATACGCTATAGAAGATGGAGATGAAGCCAGCAAAGAACACAAACCACAAATTTCTTCAGGCTCAATCACTACTATCTAAGTTTAGTTTGCTATAGAAACCAATTATGACTCAAGTATGATCTTTAACAGGCTCATTTTTTTTACTTAATATTGTTTCTCAAAATTAGGATTGTTGATGACATGGTTTTTGGGATTGGGGAATTTTACAATATCATAAAACTAAATCCATCGAGATTTTGAAAGAAATTTTTGTTAAGTCCAGAGAATTTCGATCAATCAAAACTTGGGTAAGTATCGATTGAAGTGTCTATCAACTGAACCTTGCGGATTATATGTTTTTTACACTCACTCAAATCAAATTTTATATGAATTTTACTTGCCAAACGGTACCGTCAAGTATAGGGTATTTGTTATAGGATTTTTTAACTTATTTTTCCAAGCCAACTTATTTTCCACCATTACAACCTAATCATCAACACTGACATGGTTTAGTTACACAATGTTTATTACATGATCATTCCATTCACTAGCTATAATTTCACTCTTTTTTTATTATTATTATTTTTAATATTACAGGGATGATATACATTCAACAGGCATTCAGCATTGTCTCAATAAAAACTTCTGCGTCATCTTCTCTATGTGAATAGAAATGTAACTAAGAGTGGTGTATGATCCTTTCTTTAGAGAAATTATTGTAGGGTTGCTAGCGAAAAAATTCTTATGTTATGCATATAAAGTGTATAAACCCTTGTACCTTCTAAAAAATTTGTAACAGTTAATTTTGGAGCAAACGGTGACCTAAATGTTAAAAAGATTAAATTGTCCTTTTATAACTGAATAAATAAAATAAGTAAAAAAATTAATTAAATGTGAAATAAGTAAACTGTCTCTCTTTATATATATATATAATATATGGTTGCAGGCAAAAAACAATTATGGTATGCATAAGAGTATATAACTTTCTATAAGTTCTAAACCTCCTTAACATTTAATTTTGGGCAAAATGAGAAAAACATCCTTATGCTTCGTTCGGTGGGAAGAAAAAAAATTGAATCGAAAGGAGAGAAGAAGAGATGATTGAGACATCCATAAGGAATAGATTAAGTGTTTCTCTATTTTTGTTTGGTTGGATGGAAGAGAATGGAAAAAGCCAATCTATAAGATAAAAGAAAAGATAAATTTTCAAGTTATTTTTACCATTAAACAATCACTATTTTATTTATGGGATTTATTAAATATTTATGAAGGGTGATGTAGTAATTTAAAATTTCTATAATAGGCTCACTTGTCTTCTCTCATATATTTTGCCCATATTTGAATGGATGAAAATTTGTGAAGGAGGAAAGATGACTTATCCTTCGTATTATCATTTTTTTCCTTATATCATCTCTACCGAACTAAGGAAATTTGTTCCTTCCTTCTTATTTTTCTTCCACCCATTTTCTTTCCTTCCTACCGAACATAACATTAATGTTTTAATTTTGGACAAATAACACCCATATCGTTTATTTTGAGTGTATAACTCTGTTAAGTTTGAAAAAATGAGTAAAGAAGGACTTTTGTTGTGTATATAAGTCCGTTAAATTTGAAAAATGAGCAAAAAATGGCTTAAAGTGTCACTTTAAGATATAAAATTTCTAAAACACTCTTATTTCTTCCTATAAAACTAATTAAATGTGACAAGCGAGTGTGTGTCTATATATATATAAGGACTTTATTGAAAGAAATAAGGATATTTTAAAAATATCATGTGCAATGCATATGAATAAATTTTTAACCAAACAATGATATCAAGCCCTTCTTTCCCACTTTTTTCAAACTTAACAGACTTATCTACTCAAAATAAAGGATAGGGGTGTATTTGTCCAAAGTGTAAACATTAGGGGTGTTTTTAAAATTTAATATCTTAGGATCCGTTTGGCATAGCTTTTACTTATACTTTTACGCCAAAGAAAAAAAGAAGTAGAAGCCATCACTTTTATTCGGCTTATGTATTAGTATTTGAAAATTGCATTGTAGAAGAGTTTTTAATGCTATAAGGGTTTTTTTATATGTTTGGCAAAAAAAATTGCTAAAGCTCTTCTACTACTAACATAACTATTTTGCTCTTCATTCAATTAATCAATTTTATCTTTAACAAACCATATATATAATAATAACAATAATAATAAATTGTAAAAACTATTTTGCGTTTTAAGAAATTTAGTAATAGTGTTTCAATATGCCATTAAAGAATCCATCAAATGAGCATTTACCATGTAAATCAATGAAACAAGTCCAAAACAATTGTCTAAATAACAAAATTAAGTTATTTTTTACCATGTAAACCATTTTTACCAAGTTATTTTTTTCACATGTTGATGCCCATAAAATGATCTAAATAACAAAATTAATTATACTCGAAAGAAATTATTCCTACAGTCAATTATTTAATTATTTTTCTTTCCTTGTTTTTCTTAACATAATATATATTTAACTTATTTTGTAATTGTTTTCTTCTATAGTGTTTTGATAAATTAAAAAATGGAAGGAAACTAAAAACAACGCTTTACTTCATATAAGTTCACTTTAAATTAAAGAAGGAATTTTATTTTCTTTGTTTTGTTGGGAGTGATCGTTGATTAATACTACGTCTATTATTATGCCTTAGCCCTGGAGATTTTTTTTCATAACCATCATCAAATAAATCATATAATATATACACACGTATATTATCTGTACAAACACCCACATCTTCACAAGCAAAACTGAGACAAAATAAAATTAAAGGGAAAAAGCATATGACAGATGGTAATGAATCTGAAAATAGGCAAAAAAAAAAAAAAAAAAAAAAAAAAAAAAAAAAAAAAAAAAAAGAAGAAGAAAAGAAAAGAAAAAAAGAGTCTAATTACAGATTACAACATGCATATATATATATATATATATTGTTCTCATCCTTTTGTGGCTTACTTAGAATTTTGCAATTTAATGATTTGGAATCTTCTTCTAGGTTTGCCTCCGGTTGAATGCTCTATCAGATTAGTTCTTTGAGTATGAAGGGGATTTGGAATAAGTAGTGAATTACAACTCTATTGTACCGCAATTGGTGTATTGGTCTTTGCAGCATTAATGCTTTTTGCTGATTGGTTTCATTATCATAAAGCTGCTTCAAAATTGACTTGGTTTCAAGATGTAGAATCTATATTGAATCACCATTTAGCAAGGAAAAGTTTGATAAAGACAAGATTGTTTAGACCCGATGGGACTAAATTGCATCCATTTTTTTTTTTTTTTCAAAACTTAGACTTGTATCATAACATTGATATTTATTGAATAGAATATGGTATACATGTGGCTTCCGCCAAACATTAATGTAATGATATATATATATATATATTTCTTTTTGAAAGAGGAGAGGCGAGATTTGTAATACTAGGGTTTGGAATGAAAAATAAAGGGATTTTTATAGGGATGCGTTTGGAATTATATATATATTTTATTAGGTAATAAAAATGGTATACTTGTCATTTAAAAAGTTCTATTAAAATACCAAAACTCTTCTCGTGTTGTTTGCGTTTTGAAAAAGTTGGGGTCCCCAACTTCTTAAAATAGCTTTTTAGTCTAAGAAGTCAAAAACAGCGTTTAAAAAGGCAATCCAAACAGGACCTTAACAGTAACTTCAAGCCTTTTTTTGCTCATATTTCAAACTTAACAAACTTATATATACAACATAAGACATTTTTTGCTCATTTTTTCAAACTTAACGGAGTTATAAACCCAAAATAAACATAGGGGTGTTATTTGTCCAAATTTAAATTGTAACGACCCAAAATATACCAAAGAATAATAAATAAATAGCTAAAATTTCGACATGACCTCCGCAGAAAGAGTCCCTCCACGACTCGTTAAAAAACATAAAAAGATGCAATAATCTCACTGGACCTTAAAAGTAATCTATCATATCCTAATGCACAATATAGAAATTATATCACATTTTCAAAATGACTATATACATACAAGAAGTTCCGTTCCTCCATCTCATCTAAACAAGGAACATACTTTAGTTACATCAAGTTATAGTCCATAAAATGTAGCTAGAAATTAAAAATCCATAACTTACAACATTGTACTAATTAAACTAAAGTTTTGCAAGTTAGTTAATATTACATTTACAAAATATTAGAATTATAATACAAAAGATAGCAAAAATAGAATAGATCCCCAAGCTCGTCTAAACTTGTGGTGGATCTTCGTCCGCCACCTCTTTTCCATATCCTGAAAAATGTTAAAATAATAGGGTGAGTATAAACTCAGTAGAAAGTGTCTAAGACACACTTCTTATGTCCCCGTGAATCCATACAATGAATAGATAAAAAGTGAACGGGATCATGCCATAGGGAAGCACACATTCTTAACTACAATTACAAGTATGTAACAAATATCAACCAATCACAAGTTTACCACAAAGTCATGAAGTGCAATGTTATATAAATGTCACTCCCAATTTCTGAAAAAATTCTGTTTCAACAACCAAACCGTTAGTGTAATCCGACCAAAGACACATCCATGGCGTCACGAAAGGAAGGTTGGTTAACTATCCACGACCACAAGATACCTCCAAGGCGTCGCATCCGGCCTAGTTAACTCAAGTACATTCCCTTCTAGACTACACTAATATCACGGACCACTAAGCGCCTCCTAAGCGTCTTTTTTTCACAAACACTTTTAGAAATACTTTTCCAAAAATTTATTTCCTTTGTTTTGAAAACTTTTTTTTTTTTTTTTTTTCCTCTTCCCGATAGATACATGAATGCTTCATACTTCTAATCATCAATTCAACTATAGACTTTCACACATTCCATTTACATCATCATCACAATTTAATAAGAATTTCTAAACATTCATTTATTTTATTTATTTAGAACAATGGCATCAATTTTTTTAAAACAATAAATAAATAATTAAAAAAAAAAATCATAGGACATACAAAATGTCAACACTAAGCATGCTCATTCACCATAAAAAAACTAGTCATATATATGAATTCAAATAATACATGGAACACATTTATCAACCACAAGCTAGGTAATCAAAATTAGCATGCTTAGAATCAAATTTAAGGAAAAAATTCACAAAAAACTCAAGAAGTTGTAAATTAGAATACCCTACCTCAAATTGATGAAAACTTTCAATTTGAGCCTAAGAACCTTAGAATTTTGAACTTCCTAGAGTGCACCAAAACTGAAATTGTTGATACTCACATGTAAATCTCGCCGTGCTCTTCAATTTGTCGCAAATGGCATCCAAAAATTTTAAGTACGGAAAGAGGAATCAAAGCTTGAAATTGAAAAATAAAAAAAAGAAAAGAAAAGGGAAGCTTCGGGACTGGATGAGAGAGACAGTTACGTAGGGAGAGAGAAACTGATCTGCTTAATGGCCTTTTGTGTGTTTAAAATATTGGTGGGGCCCACTAATTAAAATAATTTCTTTTAACATATATATATATATATATAGTATAACATTACATAAATCATTAATGGTGTTTTTTTACTTTACGGATTATTTTATACTCTCTCAGATTATGTGATCCTAATGTATAAATAAAAATAAAACATTTACTTGCATTTTGATATGTGGTTGGTCAGACAATGCAACCTTTTAGTTTTTTTTCCCCACCAAGTAACTCTTTAACCAAAGCGAGATTTAAAAAAAATAATAAAAATAAATAAATAAAATGAAATGAATGAATGATAGACAGGAAAGTAATGAATATACATAATACTACGTAGAGCATGTTTAGTAACTTCAGTTGCTCGGACCATCCAAGCCGTATTTTTGTTGAGAAAATTACCTGCAAAGGGACAGTCCAGCATGCCACGTGGCGTAGAATTACCACTTATTCATGGTAATCGTAATCTTCCTCACCGGTTCAGTGTCACTCTCTCGATCTCTGAGGATTAATCCATCAGAAATGGCGACTCTAGCTCGATTGTCCAGGAAAGCCCTAACCTCCACTCTCCCCACTCACCACCTCTTACTTCGCCGCACACTCGGCACCGAAGCCGCCAAGATCGCAGATTCGCCCAATCGAGTGAAATGGGACTACAGGGGACAGAGAAAGATCATCCCTCTGGGTCAGTGGCTGCCCAAGATCGCCGTCGACGCTTACGTCGCCCCCAACGTCGTCCTCGCCGGACAGGTCACCGTCTGCGACGGAGCCTCCGTCTGGAATGGGGCGGTCCTTCGGGGCGATCTCAACAAGATTACGATCGGTTTCTGCTCCAATGTCCAGGAGAGGTGTGTCGTTCACGCTGCTTGGTCTACTCCAACAGGTTCAGATTCCTTTATATTCACTCTGATTCTTAGGGTTTTTGATTAATTGCTCAATGTATGAAAGGAGAAGTTCTTACCTTGAATTCATTTCAGGTTTTTTATATTTTGCAACCGTAGAAAACAAAAACATATCTCGACGGAAATTAAACAGTAAAATTCAGTCCCAGTAATATCAATGTAGTTTAAATGAGTATAATTTTCTGATTCTGGATATTTTGTTTTGAATTATTTTATTAGCATTGTTGATGCCGAAATCCTAGCGACTTGGAACGGCGGTGTTTACTTGCAAAACAGCAGGACGTGACCTCGAATGGCACCGGTGGGATGATGGTTGAGGACCCTCCGACGATCAAATTAGTACTTGTAATCATATAGTAGAAGAATTAAATCTGTATTTAATGGTTGAGATCTGCATTCTCATTATTAACGGAGTTGGTTGAGATCTGCATTCTCATCATTAACGGAGTTGGTTGAGCAGATGTCGATTAGGAAGATTATGTTGATCTTCTCTAATTGATCTCCCCTAGGCCTTATCTTCCACAATTGAATGCATGATTTGCCATCTTTTCAACAAAGTCGAAACAGTAAGGGCGACAATTAAAGTTAGGGTTATTTTTCCCCTATGAGTTGCCCCCTATTTCCTGGTTTGGAGCGGACTAGGAAATATATATATATATTTTTCTCTCTTTTTTTTATTTTTATTTATATCCCGAGCACTATTCCCAAGGTGAGCGTACTTTCAGGTACTGTTCCTAAGGTGGGAATTTTTTTACACCCTCGGCACTATTCCAGAGTTTAGTTTTTTTTTTTTTTTTTTTTTCCAGTGATCATGCCTTGATCTCGGATAACCAGCCCATTTGCATGCATTGGCAACTAGGCATTAAACTTGGGTGACGAGACCTTTGTAGGTTAGGCCTTGGTCTTGGTCTGCAAACTAGGCATTAAACTTGGGTGACGAGACCTTTGTAGGTTAGGCCTTTGTCTTGGTCTCTGATGACCAGGCATTGGTCTTGGATGACCGAGCCTTTGTAGACTTTGGACAATCAAGCCTTAGTCTTGGTTGTCAAGGCTTTGGTCCCGGATGACTAAGCCTTGGTTTCTGATAACCAAGGTTGTACCCTTTAGGCAATGTGCTTGCCCAAGGGTTGTCCCCCTGGGCATACCTTTTTGATCTAACTTTTGGTGTTGGAACCATTTTCCTTTTTTAGAGTCGTGTTTAGATCTATTTGAACATTACTATCTCGACCCTTTAATAAGGGGAGTAGTTGTTCTTACTCCTTTGGTAAAGGGTTCGTAATATATTCAAGTTTCACTCAGCTTGTCCCATTGATAAGGGGAATAATGATTTCGAGCTTCATTCAGCCCGCCCTTTTAATAAAGGGTTTAATTTTTTTGTGTTTCACTCAGCTCGCCCTTTTAATAAAGGGTTAGTTTTTACGAGTTTCACCCAACTCGCCCCTTTAATAAAGGGATGTTTTGCCCAAACTTTATAAGTTTGCCCTTTAATAAGGGAATAGGCTCTTCTTCTTCTTTTTTTTAAAGGTTTTATGAATTGGCCCTTTAATAAGGGAGTAAAAAAAATTTCAGTTTCGTGAACTTATCCTTTATGCTCGCCCTGCACTGTGGCTGCGCCTATGGTGGCTATGACCCGTCAGACTAGAAGTGCATGAGACCAGGTTTGGTTCCTGGTAGAATAGACCATCCTTGGTGCTCGATGATCAGAATCCTCATTGGGCATGGGACTACTTTGGATGCGGTGAATTGATTGTAGAAACTTTATTGGACTCAGAATCCTTCCTAGTATGTAGAAACCTAACAGGCTATGGTTTTGGATGACCTGTGTCTGGTCTCGGAAGACCAGGTAGCCCGAGAAGTCAGTTACTGGCTGGGAAGAGAGACCAGGAACTTGGTTGGCTTGACGTACCGAGGTTGATGCGTCGGTCTTCAAAACCTTGTCGTCATATGTAGATCGATGAGTGATATCATGTGGTTCACTGCTTTCCCCAGTATAATGAATGTGGGATGTTGGGAGACATCAGACCTTCTTGGACGTGAGGGCCTCGAGATACATACTTGGGTGTAGAAAGCCACCCTGATTGCACAAATAGACGAGTAGTGAGACTTCACTGTTGCTAGAGACCTCCTTTGTGGTAGAGGTTTCACTGGTAAGTAGAAACTCTCTCGTTGGTAATGGCCTCCTTGGTGGGTATAGACCACCCACCAGTTTATGTAGGTGAGGAATGATTAGGCCTTAATCTTCAATGAACAGGCCTTGGTAGTTGGCTTCGCCAAATAGGAGATAGGATTTGGTCATGGACGACCAGACCTTAGTAGTACGGTGACCAAGCACCACCAGATGGAAGTCACTAGACACGTTGGTCTGGTGCCCAGGCCGATGTGCCAAACTTTGAATGTTGTCATCGTATATTTGGTGGGGGAATCTTGATGTGGAGACCCGTCCTTCAATGAGAACGGGGAACCCGTTGTCAACGGATAACTTTAGGATGGTTTTCATGATCGGAAAACTTCGTCTTGCCGTCCGAGTCGAATCGGGTCAGAATTACTATTTATTCAGGAAACTAATCATTTTTCACAGACGATGCTAGTTGTTGATGCGGAAATCCTCACGATTCGGAACAGCGGCGTTTACCTGCAAAACAACAGGATGTTACCTCGAATGGCACCGGTGGCGTGCCGGCCGAGGACCCTCGGATGATTGAGTTACGTATAGCAGAAGAATTAAATCTGTATTGAATGTTTAGGGGTTTTTTCTCATACCTGACTTATGGTTCGATGCCCTATTTATGGCTGCCGATTGGAATCAAGTCGGTTCAGCCCATGTCGATGGTTGAGATATGCTTTCTCATCATTAACGGAGCAGATGTCGATTAGGAAGATTATGTTGATCTTCTCTAACTGATCTCTTCTATCTTCCACAACTGAATGAATGATTTGTGCTCTTTTCAACGAAGTCTAAGGAAACAGTTCAGTAAGGGCGACGGTCAAAGTTAGGGTTATTTTTCTCCTATCAAGCATCATTGTTAGGAAGTAATTGTTTATATTTACATCATATTGTTCAATTTTTTCTTCCTTTTTTGTCTGTTGATTGTCTGTGGTATGGCTAAATGTGGCTTTTTCTTTGGTGTTTCATGGCTGATAAGTCTAAACTTAGGATTTTTTGTTGTTGTTGTTGAATATTCATAGAAAAGGCACACTAAGATTGCTGAATGCCATACTTGAATCAGTTAGAACATAATAATAATTTGGCATTGGCAAATGACAATGAAATGTGTTCCATCGTAAAATGATAATTACATGAAAACTGTATATAGTTTTCTTTCACATGGGAAGTCAGTTATGTGCAGAGAAGTTTAGTGGTCATAAGAGCAGATTAACACTTAAATAACTCTGTTAGGTGATGAATTTTCTCTCTCCCAAGATTGTTAATCATCTTTGACTCTTTGGCTTTATTGCAAACTGTTATGGAATTTGTACGCTTTAAGTTATACCATGATATTTTAATCTTCAAGTATTATATTGCCTTTTGTTATGATTTTTCTTTGATCAAGCCTTACTTAATATTTTCAACATTATTTTCCTTAATTATTTCCCTTTATGGCCTGCTGTGGAATAATGCACTTAAATTACTGGGTACTTTTATTATTTTCACAAGTTTTCTTTAGAGAATGTGTTGCGGTCAGGTCCTAGTGCTCAAACTTTAAGAGTTGTTTGCAAGGTGGATATTGAAAAGGCTTATGATTATGTAATCATGATATCTTGCACTAATTAATAATTATGATGTATGAGTTTATGGTCGAGATGATGGTAACTTATAGAGGAACATGTAGGCATATGGAAGGAAAACCTATCACCCCTTCTCGTGTTTTAATCATTGGAGGAAACCTTTGGTCGAGTAAGAGGTTGGGATGGGAGTTAGGGTTGTGGAGGTTCCTCAATCACTCTTCTGTGATAGTGTGATATGCATATGAGATCAATTATTTGTGATTCTGCAAAAATTCATTTTAGGATTATCATAGTAGGTGCGCATTTAGATGTTCCAAGGTTGTGTCAAGCTAGAGGGTGAACATTGCAGAATTTAAGCCTCTAGTTGTCAATATTCCAAACATATCAGAATGGCAGCAAAATTGTTTTGTAGGGTGAGTGACCTCATATTCCTACCTGGGGGACCCTCTTGATACTCACTAAAACATTTCTGTGAGGGAATGCATTGTTTACAAGATTGATTGGCAGTGCAAATATTGTTATTTTTCAAATCTCAGAATTATCTTTCTTTTTTTTCTTTTTTTTTAAATAAAAAATAAAAATTATGGGTTAAAATTTCAGAAATAAGCTTTCCTAAGACACTTAGGTTTATTGTGATAACTTCATTACTTTATAACCCATTATTAGTGAAGAAGGATGTGATGTTTTCCAAGTCCCAAGCCTTACCCCTTTCTACTACATGGGATGATCTCATTTTTGTGTATATTTTTGGACATTCTTGAAGGAGAGAACTACGGGGATATTTGAAGGAATAGTTGAAGAATTTTCTGAAGCCATTTACTAGGTCCAAGATAATATGATATATTAAATATGAAGCATGGACTCCGGATTCAGGGTATGTGGAAATTTTACAATTGATATGCTTGATACCAATGGAGAGTAGGACTGTTGTCCAAGACACTGATACTTAGAGTGCACCTATGCCCAAAAATAGATCTAGAGGGGGATGAATAGATCTTGTCTGGTGTTTGACTTACAATAACCAAATTTTATAATTCAGCAATTACAGTTCAAATGCAGCAATATAATTTTTTTGAACTGTAGAGAGCAAATATAAAATACCAGCAATTACACATGAGCACATGATTTACGTGAAAAACCTCAATAGAGAAATTCATTGGACCTAGTTTAAGCAAATTAAATCTACTACGTGAAGAAAAGTAATATGACTCTAGGTATCGGACACTAAACACTCAGAATCACCCAATTTACCTCTCATCCAAACTCACGCCAAATACTCCACCCATGCTCTGCTGTTATCAATTGATGAATCCGTTTACTTTGCTTGTTACTTATTAAGCTCAACAAGTATCTCCATTACACATTTTTATAATTAAACTTTGATTCCCATGTGAATGGAAATGAGGATACGTCACTCTGGGTGGAAATAGGATACTGTTTGAGGGTAGCACGTTCCCAAAGGAGTATCATTCCCATTGCCAATAGCATGCGTGAAATGTGGGATCAGCGGAGGGGAATGAGATGCCCATTGCCACCCCTCAGTTCCCATTATCCAAACACTCCCAGAATGGTAAAAACACGATGTAGATGCATCGGCAAGAAAGCTGAGAGGTAGCACCATTGGAGTGTGCAGTGCCAAAGATGACATCATCGTGTGGATTGAAAGTTGTTACTGCACTGGTTAGGAGAACTGCATCAATTCAAGTTGAAGGCACTAAATGGACGACAGAAAGTCTAAAAAGAATGTGGTCAAAATAGTAAGAAAACACTTGTTGACTCATACTCGAATGCAGATTTAGCTCTAAACAAAGATGAATAGCTGAATGGCAAAAATAAGAATGCATGTATCTGGTCTCAAGTAAGGGTATTAGGATGGGTATTTGGCCTTTCAAGTTGAGTTGAATTGAATTTAGATTGGATATTAGAAAGAAATTTTGGTTTTTATATCACTGCATTTATATTTGAAAAATTAGTGGATAACTGGACACAATATTGTGATATTTTGCAATTAATTATGAATCTGAATGCCAAAAGGAAAAGGAAAAAAAATATGATACACAGTTTTATGAACCCAATGTAAGGAAAAAATTATGTATTTGATATACTTGGGAGCACAAAACTATGTTTGAATGTGAGATAACGAGGGAAGAGTTTTTATTGCTCACTAATGTGGTGATAAAATTACATTTGAAAATATGAAATTTTAAGTGAATCGTTGTCGGTGATAAAAGAACTTTCTTGTGTTTTACTCATCATGTTTCTGATTCCTAAATCCCATTGTATATTGCAACTCTCACTGAAGTGTACGTGTGTGCAGATGCAATTGCTTTTGTTGCACATAGAGATTCTTTGCTCTGCCCCCCACCCCCACGAAATAGTAAAAAAGCAGGAAAAACATATGTGAATTATGCTGAGGTATCTTCAGATTATTTATTATATATGCTACTTATTCCTTGTATCAGGACTGCCAGCAGAGACATCCATTGAGAGATTCGTGACAGTTGGTGCATGCAGTCTTTTGCGGTCGTGCACAATTGAGCCGGAGTGCATTATTGGGCAGCATTCCATCCTTATGGAAGGTTCTTTGGTGGAGACCCACTCCATCCTTGAAGCTGGGTCAGTGGTTCCCCCAGGGAGGAGGATTCCAACAGGTGAACTATGGGCTGGGAATCCTGCTAGGTGTGTTAGGACCCTGAGTCATGAAGAGACCTTAGAGATCCCTAAACTCGCTGTTGCGATTAACGATCTGAGCAAAAGTCATTTCTCAGAGTTCCTCCCTTACTCAACAGTATATTTGGAGGTCGAGAAAATGAAGAAGTCCTTGGGGATTTCTATATGAAAATTGGGTTTCATGTTTCTGTGTATCAGTCACTCGGAATTCTCATTGAAAGGAAACAAGTTTGAGTTTATTGTTTTCGGGTTTTGTAATGTTGGCTGAAGGGGGGTCTTGCAGTGTGATTCCTATCCAAGTTAGAAACTATTTTATTTCTTTCCTTCTTTCTTTTTGATAATGTTCTTTTCGGACTTTTGGTGCTACATTCTTCTCCTCTTAGAATGTAGATACAACTTTTGAGTGGGTGTAATTGAAATTTATTTGCTGAACACAAACAACAGGAATAAATGTTTGGTTGTCTTTGTGCGAAATGGAGATGACATTGCAGATGTTGCCAATGCCCCAGTGGTGCTTTTTTATTTATCAATATTATTTTATGCCTATCTGGGCTGGAAGTATGTAGTTGAGAGTAATATTTCCCGCTTGTATCAAATGTATATCACTTCAAAACTAGAAACTTCAGAAAAAAATAATATATATTTTCCGATTGTTTCCTTCTTTTTAGTGCGAATATACGAATCTAAGCTACCAATTGAAAAGATGAGAGATTTGTTTGGTCAAATTAAATTAACTAATGTTCCACAGTGCATGGTTCACCCAAATATTAAAATAGACACCCCCACTCCCAAAAAATAAAAAAAGGTGTACGTGTGTATATATTATTTTCAACTAAACTATATAATGAATATATAAGTGCCCTTGTCTATGGTTGGCCACGCCAGCGTTCCATGCTTGCCTTCTTAACTTTACATTGCCCCATTTTTTTTAAAATGAAGGAAAAAAAATAAGGTAACGATCATCACAAGTATTCACTATTTAAAGATTGTTAGGTTGTAATATTATAATTTTTTAAATGATCATAACCAATGAGTGACTATGCGTAATGGTTTATGTGAACCCTATCATATGGTGGGACCCACATATATATGGTTGTGATTTGAAATATTTTAACCCTATTTTTTAGACTATAATTGATATAATTAAAGAACAAATCACACACATTAATGTATTGACGTGGAACTGATTCAATATGGTCAAAGTACTATTTCCTCACCATCGCGAAATGCAGCCGGCGGGGTTCGAGTGGTCAACTTCTTTTAATTGGATGATTGAAAATTACAAGGGCTTGTACCGTGAATCACTAGGATCCACTTAGATAGTACAAGTGAAGACCTAAGGCGAATAATTGGGAGGCTATTTTATATCTGCTATATATGTGTGTGTGTGTGTGTACGTACGAGTATTAATATAGTAAATGGTTAAAAAGAACAGGTCAGAAAAAGTAATAGAGAATAAGAAAAAGAAATAATTGTAGTATACTTCAAATACTTTAAAATGTTATCTATTCCTTAAGTGGGTGTCAAAGTCTGTGATTTATCAAAATCTATTGCCACTTTCTGTCTGGCTTGTGAAAACAAAAGGTTAGGAATTCAAGTCATCACAAGGATGAGTGATTGTGTGAGCATGTTTGTATAAATAAAATAAAAAATCTGATATTTAAATTCAATACAGTTATTTTTAATTATAAGCCCAGTTCAAAGAATTGGTGAGGGTTTTCAAACTTATAAAAGCGGTCACATAAAGAGTAGATATTTGTGTGAACGTGGCCCTATGAACCCAAGAAATTTGCTCCACCTACATGTAGAAATGCTGGTAAAAAGGTTTTATGTTTCGTTTTATTAAAGGATAAATTGCATTAACCTTCCTTCAGTTTGAGCAAATAACACAAATAAATCGTCCAACATTTATTACTTTAATCTCCTCTCAAATTTGGTAGGTGTGATAAACGGTATTCTTAGCATTTTCTAACAAATTTGTAAAACAAATTTTATAAAATAACAATTTTGTCCTTCTCTTATATAAAATGTAATATAATATAAGAATATTATTGATTTTTTTACTTTCAAAAATCCCTTTTTGACAACTAAATTCAAAAGAGATCAAAATAATAAACACTAAATAATTATCCATGCATGCATATAATTTATTCAGGTCACTAGATGATGAGTATGATTTACCCCTTCCATAAAACATATATGCCAATGATGTGATATGTATCCACTATCTTTTCACATAAGAGAAACTAATATAGAGGGACAATTTTTTCGAAGTGGGGCCGGTCGTGGATGTGGAAGAGCTCGAGTTGGCAACTGCTTGGGATCTGAAGGGACCAAATGACCGAGCCCCTACCTATATCGTCTCAAAGGCCAAATCCAACTTCATATATATAATATAATATTTATGCACACAGTACGTATGTATTCTTAAAGCAAACTATATATGCCAATCCAAGCTCTAAACCATAGATTCTATGGCACAAATGAGACAATTAATTAGGTAATATGGTGAGCAAACACTAAAGTTGACGAATCTTCGTACTGACTAATATACATATATATATAGAGAGAGAGAGAGAGAGAGATGGAGATTGGCGAATCTAGTTTCTTTGTCTTTGGTATCCAAGAAAAGGAACCATTAAGAGGAAAACTTATATATCCAATTTTAAAATCTGATGGGTGTAGTGTAAGAATTAACCATTTGATCGATTCTTATAATAATTGTACGAAATAATTAACCACTTGCTTCAACATTAGTTGTTGGTTTTCCGTCTAACACTGTTTAGGCTTCAATGATTGCTACAACTTTTCAACCACCCCTATCACCAGCCACCATCCCATGCAAATCATGGAAGTCGATCCACACTAGGGTTGCTGGTCATTTCACCAAATATATCTAGTAGTGTTTTTAGTAATACATATATGCTCTTGCTATTCGCAAATAATAATAATAAAGGGTATAATTCATTTAGACGTTTGTCAATATTTGAAGGAGATGCTTTCACATTTGTAAAACTGATCCCCTCTTAGTGGCTAACAATGTTAAAAGACGGAATGAAATGTCTTTTCTACCCTCTCTTCTATATATATATTTTTTAATTATTCTTCTTCTTCACCGTCGGCAACACCTGCACTGAAACGTGTGGAAGCTTTGTTTTCTTCCTCCTCAGTCAAGCTTGCTCCACTAATTTATCACTCACCCATTCAATAATCATATATATATGGATCAAAGCTGCGTTTTCTCAAGCATAAATTCGAGCTCGCGTTGTCACTGTATCTCATTCTTGCCGTCTTGGGTGAGTGGAAAAGTAACCTCCATGGACCGTGACGAATGGTCGTTGTCCTCCCTTTATCATTGGGTCGCTAAGCACATCAATACTACGGCGGCCTAATGGTGGTCGATGTTATAGATAATCAACATATGGCGACCCACTTTTGCCATAACGCGACCATGTCGCCAGAAAAACGACCTAGTGATCGGAGTGTAGCAGTGACCATATAGGTTGACGCGGGTTGCTTCAGGTAGGGGATTCCAAGTCGCAGCCCGCCGGCAACTTGGATGTCAGCAAATTAAAAGTGTCTTTGACTAGCTTAAACTGTTGAATAAGTGAGGAAACTGATGTGTGTCAGAAAAAGTAAGGGATCTAACTGAATTTTTATAAATGTGTAAGGCTCTCCTCGAAGTATTGTCAAACTATAGGGGTCTAAAGAATATATATATACATATATATATAGAGAGAGAGAGAGAAAGAATTGGTGTCACCTATTTTATGAGCCAAAAATAAATAAATTTCGATGAAAATTTTATGAGCAAAACTCAAAAAGTGGTGGCTTAATTATGGATTATTAGAATTAGTATCATTATTTCACCCACAATAATTATTATTGTAAGCATCTATGCATGCCACATAATTCCTACAAGGCCACGACATCACTAAGTGATGTGGATCATCATGAGCTGGCTATTGGCCGGGTTTGCCACTTCAATAATTCCCCCCTTTTCTCTTTTTTTTCTTTTTTTTAAAAGTTCTATTGATGAGCTAAAATTGAACCCATAACTTTTGCGGTTGTATATTCTCATATAAATAATGGAGTATGTATATATGATTTCAATACAAATATTAAAATTCGGATATTACTGGTGGTTTAGTTACATAATTGGTAGAATCTTTAACTTTTTGAATAAATGTGTCCCCATGTATTGTGAGATATTTCACTTAATTATAGGACCCACAACAGCAATTGTGACATGAAATTCATGCTTTGTGAAACACCGACTAATAATGTCGATTATGCTAAGCAATATATGTTTGTACAGTCTTTACTTAATGGTCGATCTGGAATAGCAAATATCAAACATTATATATATATATATATATATTGTAGAGTATCGTGTATAAACATTTTATGTCTTATCGGTTATGTCGTATACAGATATAAATATAACTACGACATAACTGATAAGACATAAAATATATATATTTTGAAAGATAATATATTTATATTTGTATACGACATAATTGATAAGACATAAAATGTTTATACACAATACTCTACAATTTGTAAAAGCAGTATACGATATCCTTCAAGCATGTCGCCCCTCTTGCTCTTAGGTTAACTTTTTTATTTTTCCAAGTTTTAGGCCAACAATGATGACATAATGATGATAATATGATGAGTAATGTTAGTCTGACTAATTGGTAGTAGATTCCTGGAGGCATTATTTGAAGTTACTGTGGAGAAAGGGACCATTTTCTGCAATTTTTGTAATTGTCATCAACCACTGTGTCTGTGTGAAAAGTGTTTTATATAAAGTGTATTCCATTCTTACAAATGATGAAGCAAAGACTTATATGTATATATATAGATCTCTCAACCATTGCTCTTTCTTGTTAATCTCTCTATTACTCCACTTCTTCTTTTCTCTTGTATATAAACTCTGCTTCAGTTGGTCGTGATCATGAGACAAACAAGTTTGAAAGTGCAAGAGTTCTCTTAATTTCTTTTGCGCAGGTAAGAGTTCTTAATCTAACTAAAGAAGTATATATGTGTGTATATATATTAGCAGTATATATTTATATATATGTGTGTATAATTTTCTTGTGGTGCATGTAGTAATTGCCGAGGAAGTGATATATGATATTGGCACAGTTCAATCAAATGAAATCTCCCAACAATTAATTGGGTTTTTTAATTTGATTGAGCCGTGCCAATATCATTTTCCTTTGTGACTATCCCTTGATTTGATCATAAAACTCCATTTTACTGTGTTTTCTTCTCCTGTGTTTTGAACTAAAAAGTCAGCAAAAAATGTCATGTAGTGATCTAATGGAGTTACCCGGTTTTAGGGTTTCATGTTATATAATTTAATGGTGATTATTAATGAAGGTGAAATTAATAATTGTCCTATATATGCAATCACTCCTGTTATACTGGTATCATTGTTGATATTTTTTCTTACATTTCATCATATATGTAAGATCATAAATTAATCCCAAAATTATTGATGCAGTCTGTGTGATGGAATATATTAACGAATACCATAGAATTATTATGCATGCTCCAACTAGACCATTGAATTATATTCAAGTGGACCGACTTTAATTTTTTTTTTTCCCGAAAAGGACTGATCTCAATTGTTTATCTATTTGATAGCCTCGGAGCATCTCCGGGAGCAAATGATTGAGGGTTCTCGAATTAAAAAACCCATGTCCCAAAAATAAAAATAAAAATAGCCTGCCCGATTTGGTCAAACGATCCAACATCCTTGTTTCCATCGACAACTATGGCTACAATTTCCGTGTATATGTTAACATCAAATTCATCAACACCTTACATGCATCTGGATCCTTTGTTTTAGCGGGTTCTCTACTATAGCGTATAGTTATGTGTTTAACGCGATCAAAACGAATTTTATGATGTTAAAACACTATTTAATTGTGTTGAGTGCACCTACATCACATACCTAGTGCTCTACCATAAAGATAATGCCCGGAAACAAGGACTTTCTTTCCTTCATGCCCTTTACCATGATCTAATGTACATAAAACAATACCGACTACCATTATCATATCATTTACATCATCAATCATGATCACAAGTGTCTTATGCTAATAGAATTTATAGCATAGAATGTATTAGTGTTAAACAACTAATGATCTAACCTACATAAAACACTACGAACCACCATTAATTACAGTATCATTTGCATAATTTCATCATCTTGTTGTTCTTAATCACTGTAATGCATGTGATCATTTCATCATATTCATGTTCTTCTTTATCCATGTTCTTCTTTAAGCATGTTAGCCTAGTCATTTTGGTTGCTTTGTCTAATCATCTAGTGGCTCATTGCCCCTTAAAACATGACCAAAAAAAAAACAATAGAGCAGGCTGAAACCTCGGGTGACTTGGGCAGTTGTCTAAGGCCCATTTTTTGAGGGAAAAAAAAAAAGCTCACGATCTTTTTATTTATGGTATTTATTTTTGTGTAAATAACGAATTTTTTTAAATTTGAGCTCTATTATAGATTTTTTATTTAAGATATATGCTCTCCAATTTTTACATGGATTAATAGTTTTTATATATAAACGTAAAGTAATAGTACACTAAGTCTCGTTTGTTTATTTAGGAAAAAAAAAAAGTCTGGTTTGTTTCGATAAAAATATTTTCCTTTTTTTTTTTTTTTTTCAGGTAAAATATATATATATTTTTTTATTTTTTGATATTTGACAAATGTTAGTCGAATCCATTGGATGGAGAATGTAAAATAGCTTGCCAAAAATTGATCATAAGTTATTTTTGTTAAGTTTTAATATATATTTTTTTTCGTAAATATTTTACGACAACCAAACACCAAAAAATTTTATACTCAAACAAACGGAAATTACATCTCTAATATAATTTGTAGCAATAAAGAGATTGGAATGTGTTACTTGTTTCATTGATTTTTTGTTCATGTAGAATTCTAGCTTCTTACTTGGTCTACTGTTTTGTATCTGTATTTGAAAACCTAAATTATCATATTTAACGTTTTTAGAGACAATAAAAAACAAATATGGTTACGACATGCAGGTAAAAACAACATTAGAAATATCACTCATGGCTCCTTGCAGGTAAAAACAACATTAGAAATATCACTCATGGCTCCTTTCAGAGTAATCCATATCGCATTCGCATGGTTAATGTTGTCATTTTGCCTTATGGTTGCTCTTCTGAGCAGTTTGTTCATGGCCTATTGTTGATATTTAGAGCAGTTTGTTCTTGCTGCTGCTTAGGTTGGTTTGTTTACGCTACTGCTTAGGTTGGTTGTGGATTTGTATTGTTGTCTTTTTCTCCCTCACAGATGGGGATCCTTGTACATTCTTTCCTTTCTTCAATGAAGCTTACCCTTTAACTTAAAAAAAACATGTAAACCTTACTTGTGTAGCTGCTAGCTTATTGTTAAAGTTGTGGTGTGTAATATGATAAATCTGACGGTTTTGGTGGTGATTGATTTGTACTAGTTTGTTTGACTGGGCGTGTGGGTGTGTTGTTTGTTAGAGTTACAAATTATTTTTTTTGTGTGATAATTGGCGGGAGGGTTGTGAAAAGTCGAGCGATGAGAAAAGTGTCGTCCATAAGAGTGCACAGCAAGCAAGTAACAATGATCCTCTGGATGATATTTTACGTGGTTCGATCGTTTGAGTGGATGAAATTAATTTATCACTATCAGTAATAATTTTAAATTGGTGAAATTTCACATCATTACACAGTAGTAAAAGTTACCATTTTCTATAAACCGCATAAAAGACGAGACCTGTCTGAAGATTTTAATAATTACTTTTGACCATAATTTGAGTAATTATACAGATGCGCGCTCCCACAACTTTTTTATCTTTCACGTCCTCACTTTTTTTCTTCGTGTGTATTAACTAAATAAATAAATAATTACATGTATATTTTTAATTCTTCTCATCCACAATTTATCTCTTCATGGAAGGAAGGTGTGCAAGCTCCAAGATACAGCATATGGTAAGAAATTTCCTATTAAATTTATGGTTTAGATGGACAAGGACTAGGATTTGGATTTGCATTGTAGAGATTGAAAATTACAAATTTAGCAATATTGATTTTTTTTTTTTTTTAATGACGTGAAAACTCTCGCAACCACCCACCCTTCGGACTTTTTAGTTGAAATTTAGTCTCCATGTGATATGACACCTCAAATTTAGCCTCCAAATGATATGACAACGGCACTGATAAAGACTTTCATTCAGATTTCAAGGTTCAAAACTGGGGATTGAAAGCCACTGGTTTTTTTTTTTTTTTTTTTTTTTTTTTTTGTCTCTTTGCAATTCTTTAATGAGAAAGGTCCATCAAGAATGAATGAAAAATCAAGGAGTGCGAATCCTCCTCATCCCAGATCCATCGAGCCCTTTGGCCATATCCGGAATCAATCTCTAACCACCTTGATCCATCGACCATCATCATTCATTTCGCAACTAAAAACAAAAAATAATAAAGGTTCATTAAGGATAAACTGCAATCAATTTTCACTAACTTGCAAAAATAGACACAACGGGACTGTGTGTGTGTGTTTGAGCATCGAATGTTGTTTTGCTTGATCCAATATCTAACAATACATGTCAGACTCTTTTACCTAGAGTTACCATTTTGTGTCTCTCCCATGTCCACACTTCAGATACGGTAACTCACAAATGGTTATGGCTTGTGAGTTACAATTTGAGGGTGCGAATCGGAAAGACACAAATTGGGTTGTTACACCGATTAAACTTGAAACTCTGAACAAAAGTCGCCAAGAATCACCAGCAACTCCAAGTCCCAAACAACAACCAAAAACAGAAAGGTAACACGAGGAACTCAGTTCAAGATGGGGAGACTTCATTTCCAAAAAGTACTAAAAGAAAATTTCATAATCTAACATTCTGGTAGTACAGGAGTGTATGACATCGCTAGGTAAACAGTGCTATAGACATGCAGACAACAACGAACACTGCTCTGCTGAGCTTCTTGACTGTACAAGCTTAAAGAGCCACGTCCAATTTCCCCACCACAAAAAGCTCCTCCCAGTGGAATCCCAGGAAAATTCTCCAGAAATGGGAAGCTATCAACATAAGAGCGCCTGAAGAAAGAATTACCACGGCCACAACAAGAGAAGATAATGCCTCCAAATACTTCTTTATTACCATCTTGCTTCAAAAGTTTGAGGTTTTCTGAGACATTGCTACAGAAGGAGAAAGCAGTGCTGGAATCTGACTGGTAGAATCGAAATGAATCGCCAGTTTTGATTCCACAGCCATTAACAAATAGGTATTCTTCATCTCCCCTGTCAAAAGATTTCATATTAAATTTGAAGGAAACAAGGATTAAGTGGTTGACTAGCAGCTACCATGTGCACACCCACCCAAACATACCCAAAAAAAGATCAAGGAGAAATGTTTTAGAGAGACTTGTTAAGAAAAAATATCGAGGAAAAAAAAAATTGAAGCTTATATAGCAGCGGTAGTGCGGTACTAAATTCAACAATGAATCTCACTTATATAATCATTAACATTTTCAGAGAAATGAACGCTAAAACCCATGGCCAAATATTGTACATTATCACTTATAGACCAAGTGTAAGAGTATCTTTTGATGGGGTGTGGAAGCCATAACAAAGATGGCTGGTACAGGTTTCATGGTAATGGTCCAAAAACTGCTATAAAAGTAGCAGGAGCTAAGTTTGTTCAAGCTTTGAGAGCTTTACAATTTAAAACAGTTGTCTAATACGATCAAGGATATTGTGCTTTGCATAGCTTTAGACAGACTTATTGCAGCTGCATCAATTTCTATTCAAGCCCATTGACCCAAACAGTCCTTTGAATAAATAAAGGAGCCAAGATCTAGTATACATGCTGTTTTACTTGGGCGGAGCCAGGATCCCATGGTTGGGGGAGCCGAACTTTAAGCCAAACGTGTTACACTACTGATTAGATGCATGCCAAACCCAATTTGTTTACCTTTTTTTTTTTGGCTATATCTAGTCAAATATTTTAATTTTTTTAGAAAACAATGAAAAAAATAAATTAGAGAACCATGTGAATATAAACTAATTATGGCTTGAAATATTGCAAACCATAAATTAAATAGACTCAACAATTCTGATTTCAATTCATCAATTAAAATGAATCCATTAATTAAAAAAACAGACAAATATAAACTAATTAAAGCTTGGAAATTGCAACAAACCCATTAGTCAAATATATTAATCGAATCGAATCTAAACTGATTCAAGCTACAGAATTTGGATAAACCCATTCATTAGACACCATTGATTGCAAACCAATCAAGATACTTAAAATCATAACCCTAATTTTTTAATTTTCAATACTCTTATATATTGACATATATACATTATTTACATTTGAATACATATATACATATACATATACATATACATATACATAATGACAAATAAATACAATATACGGTGTATATATAATCCTTATTTTAGCATTTATGCGATCTTTTAATTAGAGAGAGAGAGTGAGAGAAGGGGGGGGAATAGAAGAAAGAGTGAAACTTACATAGTATTTAATCTCTTTTATCTACATAGCATTGAACAAGAATCCATGGAGATGATGAAAAATCGATGGAGCTTTGTAAATTTGAAACCTTCGCTATTGTTTCACTTTTTGGTAAGATAAAAATAAAGTTCAAGTGCGTGTGAATATATTTATGTACTCCGTATGATATATATTATTAATTTCCTATTGAATTTGGGCTTAACAACATTTTATATATTAGTATTGGTTTAAAGTTGCTAAAGGCTCAATGAATAATTTTTGGGGGGCCAAGTATGGACTTAGTTTTGTAAGTGTTATTAAAGGCCCAAGGTGAACCAAGGCACTAGAGGTCCTTTGGAGCCTAGGCGTGGGGCACACGGCGAGGCACGCGCCTAAGTGAGGTAAGGTGCACAATTGAAACTTTAAATTACCATAAAAATATTCATATCTCATAAGTCATATCAATATTCTAAAAATTAATATCAAATATAAAAAAGTAAATTCATTAACCAAACAAGCATCCAACAACCCATAAAACAGAGCAAAAATTTGTTTTATTGCAAGGCAAAGCAGATTTTTTTTTTTTTTTTGAATGGCAAAACAGAGCACAAAAAGCAATAAATCTGTTAACAACAATAACAACAACAACAACAACAACAACAACAACAAAAAAAGACGCAAAGACAGAATAAGTAGATGAAGAGAGAGAAGTAGACGAGAAGAGAGAAAGTGTTAAAGAAAAAAAGGAGAAAAAATTGAGCCCCAAAAAAAAAAGACGGACAGAGAAGAGAACTAGACGAAGAGAGAGATGTAAACAAAGATAAGAAGAAAGGAGTACAAGAGAAGAGAGGAGTGAGAAGTAGAGGAGAAAAGAGAGAAGAAGAAGAAAGAACAAACGCGGCTTCGTTGTTCATCTCTGCAACTAGGGCTTTATCGTTTGTCTCACGCTCTCACTCTTTCTCTGTTCGGTTAACACTACTCTTGGGCTTTCTAATTTGTTTATTCTTTTGAACAAAAGTTTCTTCTCTCGTACGTTGGGCTTTCTTATTTGTCTATTAAGTTGTCAAAAGTACCCTTTTTGGCTTAAGAAATAGAATAATCATAGTTTTTTTAAAAAAATCAGTGAGGCGCGCCTGACAAACAGTACGAGGCGCAACCGAGGCGTGCACCTAGTAAACATTAATGAGCCTGGGATGACAACAGGTGCTAGACCTGCGCCTCGAGCTAGGCGCGAGCCTAGGCGCGCCTTTAACAACACTGGTTTTGTTGGGCCATATAGTAGTAAATGTTTTCAAAAAATCTGGGGGGGCCCCCTGCTGGCCCACATGCCTCCGCCCCTGGTTTTACTAATACTAAATTAGCTTTAAAAGATGAGGTATATATGTTTCTGTCTTGACTTCTATTTACTTATAGCTAAAACAAGGATATATTTTCTCTTCATGCACTGGATTTCATATATCATCTGTTTACAAGTGATGCAGTTCTTATGATTTATAAAAATGAAATATTGATAACACTTGAAGTAGCAACACTTCTAGAAAATAAAATAAAACAAAACATCCTTCCGTGCAACAATACCCATTATACCATAATTTCCTAATGATCTACCAAGAACCATTCGCACAATTGTTCCCCCAACTTTGTAGAACCCCCTTTGAGCCCCATAAGCAAATTTCATGTAGCCTCTACCATTTTTCCAACTGATTTTAGTTGCTCCTAAAACAATAACAAATAAAAAAGAAAAAGAAAAAAATGAAGGCGAAGACAGCTAGCATGCAGGCAATTGACTTGCTATGTTGCCATATTGACTAATTTCCATGTGGCAACCATTGAGACCTTGGGAATTTATACTAGTGCTGTATTTGTTCTTTATCCACTCAACTAAAGAGGACGATTGGCACAGAACATTCTCCATTGCGTAGCCTAGAATTATATGCTATATATAATACCCATGTAACCCCGTCAAAAGAATTATGTTTATTCAATAATAATATGATATTAAATACTTATAAGGACTTGCAATAAAATAAAATAAAATAAAAAGGGAAACAAAAAAAGAAACAAACTTTTACATGAACTTCTTTCCCTTATTCAAGGCACTGCAACAATTTAGCAAAAGATTGAACATGGCTGCACAGAAATAATAAGCTTCATAACTTACCCCATTACTTCATGGAATGCCAAGGATGTTACCCAGCTCGCTTTCTCCAACCCAATTGAACATTTTCTTCTTTCTGTGACGCCAATGTACAAAGCCGGATACTCAATACGATCTCCCATCTGCCACAAGTCATTGCTCAAAGCTCACTTGAGAAATAATAAGAAATTTTAACATAAAAAAAGTGAACAAACGACAATAAATGCTCCCACACACAAGCACAGACTGGGTCATTTTCAAAAGGTCAAAAGAAAAAGAAAAAAAAAAAAGGTTCATTTCAGAAGCATGGCAGAAACTAAAAGCAGATCATAGACTACAGCCAAGAGCCCCAACAAATACTTCATCTTCATACAAACTTATAAAATCTACTATGTACTGATTATAGTTGTTGAGTCGTGTATCATATGTGTAGCATTCTCATTTTTTTTATATAAAAAAGAAAATATGTATCGTGCATTTTTTTTTAAATCTCTTTTTCCATCTTTTGAAATATGTTAGAGAAAAGGAAAAAGTGTGCATACTTGAAACGTATATAAAAGTAAGAATGGACTACAGTCAAGAGCCCCAACAAATACGACTTCATCTTCATACAAACTTATAAAATCTACTATGTACTGATTATAGTAGTTGAGTCGTGTATCACGTGTACCATTCTCATTTTTTTTATTAAAAAATATATGTATCGTGCATTTTTTAAAATCTCTTTTTCCATCTTTTGAAATTTGTTAGAGAAAAGGAAAAAGTGTGCACACTTGAAACGAATATAAAAGTAAGAATGGAGCTTTAAGTAATATAAAATAAACTTCATGACTACCATAAGCCAAAGAGACGAACACATGCAACCATCAAAATCCAAGGTTATAAACAACAATAAGTGAAGATAAAAATAAATCAATTCAGAAGAAGCTGCAGCATTTAGTCCCAAGATATACAGGATGACCCTTCTAGGCTTTACACTGTACTTCTAAAAGATATAATATTCAACTTGTCCACCCCTAAGCAGTAACATGCTAACAGCCGTAATATAATAATATAATATATATACATATATAATATATGTATGCATGTATGTAGCCTAAAAAAAAAAAGTAATCCCACGTAGTTTAGAGTTATCCTAATACTCACAACTCCCTTATTCATCCCTAAACCAGCATCATCACCAGCTTCACAATTAACCAACATTCAGAGTCAACTTCTCACACCCAAATATAATCACACTTATATAATATCAATATGGGTATTCAATTCACAGACACAGCAAAATACTCTAAACAGAAGGGGAGAGGAAGAAGACCCTGAGGAGAAATTGTGATTAGGAACACACCTGAAGAAGATGATAAGAAATGGGAGCATTGAATCAGGCGAGTGAACTTTCCATATTTTAACTAACTTTACTGTGGTCTTCAAAAGAAAACCATACAAGATAGGCATTCACTTATGCTAAAATCATGCAAGATGTGAAAGATTAGCAAACTACAGAACTACTAATCATGGAATAACTAATAAGCACATTATTCTCCTGAATCTCCCGGTGTTCAATGAAATGTATTAATGATTATCCATAAGACAATAAGCTGATCTACCAAGGCAAAAACTTACTCAAGGAGAACTCTTTAGCTATTAAATTATCGGATTATTACAGCCCATTTGAAGCATTAATTAGATCATCCGTTCAAGTCCATTTAACATATCCACAAAAGAAAAGAAAATAAAATAGCAGCTGAAACTTGAATTTTGTACGAAAGGAATCACTGTGAGAAATTATAACAAATCTTCTACAAGTTCACTTAAGGAAAATACTAGCATACTTCGTCATTGATGTCATTTAGCATAGTTTGACCATCAAGAACATCATGGAGTCCTTCTCTTCTAGCAGTGAGCCATGTAGAACAGTCACTACGTTTTTCTCTAACAGAAACTGCCTTGTGCATGGGACCTATTGGTGATATACCAGGTGAAAATGCAACACGGAATTGAGTGTCCCCTATACCTGAAAACCACACCAAAACATATTTGGTAACAAACAAATAACCTTAAACAAAGAAATGAATAATAAGAAAAGTAAATTTGAAGCCCTATCACTGTATCACAATCAAATCAATTGTGCTAAAGTTAATTGATTGGAGCAATAGCACATCAAAACTTCACGGGTAGTGTTAAGGTGAATCAGAAACAGCAGGCCAATAAAAAGAAACAAGATGGCATTAAAGCAACACATAGCAAACAGAGCAGAATGCATAAGGGTTGCTTCCAAGCATGTCTTTTTCAAAAATAATAATAATTAAACAGCTATAAAACATTTTGCAAGAGATCAACAAAAATTGCAAGGAAAACATTCAAATTAGTTGTCAACATCAAGAACTAGGGATTTCAACATTAGGAACTAGGAAATATCTGACTTACAAGAAGCGAACTTTCTAAGAATTTTTTTTACCTCATTCAAGTTTTGGCCTTCTCTATGATGGATTGATGGAGCAAAGAAAACGAAAAAAAATAAAATAAAATAAAATAAATAATAATAATAATTAAAAAAAAGAATGAAGAAAATGAGTATGAAACTTCAGGCACAATCTTCAATTTGGGCAAATGTATCTTAGAACATCGAAATTAAAATTCACCTACTTCAGAGGCGCAAACCCAACCAACTCAGTGCTCTTTCTCTAGGAATAGTCTAAATGAAATCATTTCCGAGTGGCACAATGCAATAAGATAGAAAAGGTGATAATTATCTTCATTATCTTTATTTAAATTATATTTATAAATGAAAATAGATATAAATTGGCAAGATGATGGCAACAATTGCGATGGAAAATATATTTCAGTTTTGACATCTGAAAAGAAGTACCAAGAGGCTTGTTTCTATCCGTCGCAAGTAGAAGGGCAACAGCAACAACATTGTCTTTTTGCCTCCTATTGGCGTTACTAGAATCACCATTTCTTCTATAAAGGAATTTATTACTCTCACCACCCACAATGAAAGTCTCCCTAGACATGGCATAATCTGAAAAACACAAAATCAATCAGCATAACCAACCATGAAATAAAATATGAGCCTAGATAATTGATTTATAGGATGAAGTTGTGAGTTGCTTAAATACATAGTGCTGCTCAAAAATTCGATAGAACAATTTTAAAAGAGCCACTAAAAAGAATCAAAATAATAAACATTATAAATAATGTAGTATATCTGACAGTACATGAGTAGTGCCCGGGAACCGTGTTTTCTAGTTTCTATTTTCTGTTTTAGGAAACTTTAGTTGTTTTAATTTCCTAATAGTTTGGTGTCTGTTTTAGGAAAGTTTTCCATTGATTTAATTTCCTAAATAATTTAGGATTTGCTTAGGCCTATAAATATTCAGGGATCAGTAATTACTTTTATCAATATCAGAAAATTCGAGAGTTTCTCTCGTGGATTCAAGTGTTTAAAGAATAATAGAAACTAGAAAACACTGTTCCCAAGCACTGCTCATGTATTGTCACATGTACTACAACAATAAACCACTTCTATTGTAGAAGAAGACCCTTTACTTGAATTGTTCATTTCATCTACAGTTCCATGAACCATATAAGAGTAGGTCCAACTATTGTTTAGTTGCTACCACAACTTAGAATCTCTTTCCAAAAAAGGATATAAATTAAAAAGTGCATGCAAATGTTGAGGAATGTAAATACAAGTGCATGTTTGTATGAATTTGAAACAACACTCACCCATCTTATCAAGGATAGTTTTCATGTCAATTCTCAAGCCCTAAAATATATTTGTCATAATATGTTAGAACTGCAACAAATAATGAAATCTACTAAAATAGTAGGAAGGTCTTATTTTTGAATGGAAATAAGTAAGTTTAAAAAAAAATGATATTAACGTACTCCAAACATAATGATTCCAGCAGGCGATGTGCCACCTGAAACAGAGGCTGTGTATTCCCTAATATCCATCACCCATTTGTCAATCAGGCCCTCCATCCCCAATTTGTCAACCAGGGCCACTTGAGGTTCCTGATATTAGTGAGTAATTCCAAGTTAATCTCTTTCATGCACAAAAAACATACAAAGAACTAAAAATAAAAAAATACACATATTTCTGCCATTGAAAATTACGCTTTAAATACCATTAACATTGGAAAATACATATTCCAAAGATGCCAAATCCACAAAGTAATTGCCCAGTAGAAAAAAGAGAATTATTTATATTACTGGAAGAAAATTTAAATTAAGAATCCAATTTTATGTAATTAAAAACAGCCTTTTGTTGTTTAATGCAGTAGTTTTACCTCAATAGATCGTACTAGTGGGATAACATCAACTTTTAATCCAGGTAAAAATCCAATGGTCAATATGATCCCATGAGCATCTGGAACATCATTATCCTCATCATCAGTAATACCCCATTGAATCTGAACAATTTTTTGAGAAGGAATACATAAGAACACCTAATTTATATTTACATGTATGCAGTAACATATAAATTAAACAAAAGAAATAGACAGTAAACCTCTTTGAATTCGTTAGTAAGTGCTTCTCTTCCCATAATTCCATTGAACTCACATGTAATAACTGGAGCTATGAAGCCCAATTTTTTTGTAATCTGCATTATAGCTCTGTATCAAGTAATGAATTCGTAAAGCAAATATATACATGTATATAAATATAGAGATGTCATACAAGGTTGTGAGTGAGCCGCAAGTTAAAGGAGGGGCCAACACAGGCAATCGCAAAATGAGGTCGGATGGGCTGAGATAGAACCTTATCAACAACCTCTTTCACTGCAACCTACAATGAACAAAAAATCATGATTTTTAAAAAATATATATAATTTCCGCTTCAATTTTCTGGGGAACCAAACGGATAGAGTTAGGGCTTTTGGAAATTGGTACAGTTAGGGATATTATCACCTGTAGTGAAGGATTGAGAGATAGAGCAGAGGAGAGCTTGGGGCGAGAGAGGATACGTTTGCAGACGGTGTTCCAGGAGCGGCTAACGCACGCAGCGGATGCGAAGGATAAAGCTGGGAGTCTGGAGAGTACGGTTTGAAGAAGGTCTTCACCTATTAGATCGATACCACTCCTTCCTCCGTGTCTCTCTTTCTGTTTCTCCCTGTGTCTCGGCATTTCTGCTGCTACCTTCTCTTCCTACTCTTTCAATTCACAGCCGAACCCAATGATGTCTTTCGGGACAGATGGACGGGAAGATAGAGAGAGAGAGCGGTGCACATCTAAGGGTATGTTTGGTAGGATGGAAAATAACGGAAAGCACAATACGGAGTGTTATGTTAAAAAAAAAAAAAAATGTAAAAAGAAACGGAAGGAAACTTTTTTATTTTTTATAAAAATAAAGACAAATTTAACATTAATAAAATTTCTTTAAAAATACCAGCATTTTTTTTTTTCCTTCCATTTTATTTTTTTAAAGATAAAAAAATTTACTTATCAAACTTTAAGGCTCTGTTATGCTGGCTGAGTGAAAAAAAAGAAACATTATTTACAAAAGAAAATAAAATAAATGAAAGGAGATATGATCTTTGTGTTGTTTGATTAATGAAGAAAAATAAAGAAAATGATAATAATAATTTTTGAAAAAAAGAAAAGAAAATAAATTATTTTAATTAATTTACTGTTTATTTTAATTAATTTACTGTCATACTTTTTTTTCCATATTTTTGTCTTTTATAAAAAAGTAAAGACAATTTTGGTATTAAAAATGTTAGGCGTTTCAATTTTATTTCCTCCCATTTTAATATTAATAAACACATCAAACTTTAATATATCTCACCAAATCCTTCCATTCTATTTTTTTCCCATCCAAAATTTTATACCTAACACAAAAAATCATATCCCTCCGTTTCATTTCCTTTCTTTTCTTTCCAATTCTTCCATCAAAACTGGGTCTAATGAATCCCTCTAAATCCTTGCATTACCTTTCTTTTCCTTCAAAATTATACCATACACAAAATAACTGTAACGACCATAAACTGAATACCGAAAATAATAAAAATTTAAAAAAAAAAAATTCGGCATGACCTCCGCTAAAAATGGTCCTACAACAACCTGTTCAAATGAAAAAAAACAACGGCCTTTTAAGGCCTATCCAACCTGCCCCAACACACCATACAAAAGAAATATAATGCAATCCCCAATACAACAACATCAATAACCTTCCCTAATTAGCCCATCATCGTCATCTCCTTCAATTTAAGCATTTACATGGTCTCAGTTTACAACAAAAATAAATCAAGTATCTTAGTTATGTTACAGGGCCATTATTTGCAAAAATAAATACGCTTTTACATAATTTGAGACAATACAAAAAAATGGGCTAAGATACAAAAGATAACAAAATACAACTCCTAATCTTCTTCAAACTTGCGGGGGATTGTCATCCGCCACTTCTTTTCCGAACCCTGAAAAATGTTAAATGATAGGGGTGAGTAAAATTACTCAGTAGGTAGTGCCTAAAGCACACCTCTTGAAACCTCGTGAATCCACATCATGAATAGGAATAAAGAAATTGGGATAATACCATGCCGGAAAAATAATATAATCATCATGCCACATCATTAATCCGATACTACAAATGAATATACCATGAAATGATATGCCATGCCTTAAAATGTCACTCCCCATTTTTCCAAAACCATTTCCATTATCATTTTCAAACCGTTAGTGAACCCGTCCCATGGCAACTCCATGGCGGCACGAGAGGAGGATCGGTCACTGTCCCTGACCCATGGCAACTCCATGGCGTCATTTGGGGCCCAGGTAACTCAACCACATTAGAACGATTTTCTTAGTCCCTTCTAGGCCTTACTAACGCCTCGGTCCCTAGGCAACTCCTAGGCGGCCGGGTTTTTCACAAAAATCATTTTCAAAATTCTTTCCCAAAATCTATTTCCTTTCTTTCAAATCAATTTTTCCCATTCCTTCCCAATGATATGCATGAATATTTCATGTTTCCCAATGCCATGTCAAATGAAGGATTTTTTTACAAATCACAAATCAACATAAGATTTTCATATATCACAAATCAACACACTTCCATATAGCAATTTCTAGCAAATTAATCATAATAGGCAAGAAAATTTGATACTTAGACATGCTTTACAATATAAAAAAAATTCTAAAATTTTCTTTCATGCTTTCTAATCACCAATCTAGCACTAAAGGCACAATAAGCTTGAATTAATCAATAATTTACATGCTTCATTATCATATATATTAAGTAACACATAGTCACAACTCTGACACAATATATATATATATAATAAAGCAAAAAAAAAAAATCTACAATTTAAGCATGCTAATCATCAATTAAGTAGAGTAATTCACAAAAAGGCTCAAGAACGTGTGAATTAGAACCCCTACCTCCAACATTATGAAATATCCCAATTTCTACCTCAAACCCTAGGATTTTCGAATTTCCTAACTTCAAAATACCAAGAATTGAGGAATTAATCAAGAGTGGAAGCTTGTGTGCAAAAGAAAAGAAAAAAGGAAAACAGAGAAGCGGAGAGGCTGCAAGAGAGAAAAGATAGCAGAGAAAAAAAAAAAAAAAAAAAAAAAAAAAAAACGTGGTCTTATGACCACTTTAAAACATTAATGGGTCCCACCTATTTTTATTTTATTTTCTTTTTTCTTTTGCCTTTAAATTCACACCACACACACACAATTACATATATATATATATATCTATATATATATACAACACAGACATTACATTCTCTTTAACTTTAAAAGATTTCGTCCTCGAAATTAAGACATACCTGAGGAAGAAAACAACTCTAGATACTTAGAGCAAACCTCATGTTCGAGCTCCCAAGTAGCCTCCTCGACTCCATGGTGTCTCCAAAGAACTTTCACCATGGGTATCATCTTGTTCCTCAACACCTTCTGTTATGTGTCAAGGATCTGAATTGGTCCTTCCTCGTAGGAAACATCCTCATCAATGTCCACATCAACCCAACTCAAAATGTGAGATGGATCCGGCTCGTACTTCCGTAACATCGACACATGGAAAACATTATGAACTCTGTCCATCCGTGGTGGTAAAGCAAGTCTGTAGGCAACCTCTCCTACATGGTCCAAAATCTCAAACGGTCCAATGAATCATAGCGACAACTTGCCACTTTTCCCAAATCTCATCAACCATTTCCGTGGAGAAACCCGTAGAAAAACGTGGTCTCCCACCTCAAAAGATAACGGCTGTCTCCGCTTATCCGCATAACTCTTCTGTCGGCTCTAAGCTATAAGTAACCTCTATCTGATTAATTTAATTTTCTCAGTAATTTCAAGTACAATGTCGGGTCCTAAGGCGGCTGTCTCGCCCACTTCAATCCAACAAACAGGAGACCTACACGGTTTACCATACATCGTGTAATACCCCTAGTTTTAAAAAGGATAAAATTGAAATTTAATTATTTTCATTTCATTTTTATGTGACTAGTTGCTTGGGTGTATAATTGTTTTATTTCATTATTTGATTTAATTGTGTAATTTAATTGGTTATTTGATTTAATTGAATTGGTTTATTTGGTAAGTTGATTTAAATGATGTAGTTTTAATTCTTTGATTTATTATTTTAATTTAATTATTTATTTTCTTTTCTTTATTTAAGATTAGGGTTTTATTGGGACGTTATATAGGTATCTGTTATATATGTATATGATTATGATTTTATCGGCTGACTCTAGTTTGATTAGGGTTTCTGCTTTAGCTCTAGTTTAATTAGGGTTTTCTAAGTGCCTATATATATACGTGTATGAGTTTTTACTGAGGGTTGGGAGAACCTTATTTACGGCACAGTGGAAATAAAACAGAACAAAGAGAGAGTTGAGAGAACAGAGGAAATCATAAAAGCTACCAAGGAGAAGAATAGAGAGGATCAAGGGAGGGTTGTGGTGGATTAAGTCAAACCCATAGGAGGCTTGAAAGAAGCTAGCAGTTGCCGGAAACTTAGAGACGACGCCGAGATTTCATTACTGAAATCACAGGCAAGTTCTTCTCTTCCTCCTTCCCTCTGGCTTGTGTTCTGTGCACCTAGATAATCTCTAGGGTTTAATTAATTTTTAAATCGGAACTTACATGCTTGCTATATAATATATTGATGATCTTTACGTGTTAAATTTGATTATGGTATAATACGTGAAGCTTGTTTCAAGCCTTGATCAGTTTATCCTTTTAAGCATGTTATGTTGTTAAGCAATTTTAGTCTCTATAATTGCCTTTAACCTCTGTAAATAAATCATGGGGATGTTACTATGATGATATAAGATCTTTAGGTTCAGGGGTAAAGAGGAATAGAGGAGTTAGAATGGAATGGACGGTGCAAGTTAGCTTAAGTTTCGTACTGTAAACATGCTAGTTTAATGGCTAAATCTAACCTCTGTAATTGGTCCCAGTTATTGTAAACAACCTTGGGGATGCTTCTAGACTCAAATAAGACTCTTAAGATGAGTTTTAGAAATCAACAAAATGGTAGGGATAGTCCAGAGACAGAGCAAACAGACTAAAACGAAGAACAGACGGACGGTAGGCTCTCAATGATGAGAGAGCCGGCTCCACAATGGAAGGAGCCGGCTCCCCCATCTAAAAGAGCCGGCTCTATGATGTTTAGAGCCGGCTCCATGCTCTAAAAAGAGCCTGCTCCAAAATTTGGAGCATGCTCCCTTTTTAATTTATGATTTGTTTTAATTTTTTTTTTTTAATTTTCTACGTACTGTGCTTACTATTGGAGCATGGGTTTAAAATCTGTTAGGTCTGGGGTTCCACAGAGAGTTTAAAAGGCTGAATTTGGGTGTTCTTAGGACCTTAAATTGATTAGGGTTTAATTCTAAATTGTCGGGACAAACAGTGTAAAAATTAGGACACTCCCTATGTTGTTAACAAATGGAAGATAAATTAATTGTTGAATTAAATTTCAGCAATTTGATGGAATATAATGTGTTTATAAAACTTGTTTTAGAATGCATTCAAGTGCATTATAAGGTCATTTAATTATTAATTTTGATCTATGCATGCTTAGGAGGCTAGTTGCTGAATTATTAAATCGTTTCCTGCAACTATATGGTTAATGCTTGGATTTAAATTGCTGAAATATTAAACAATCTTCTGAAGTTGTTTTAGCAATTTATTGGATAATAATAGGATTGTTTAACCTATTCACATGCATGATGGAGTCCCTAACATATTAAATTTGGTCTATGCATGCTCTGGATGTTAGTTGTTGATTTATTAAATCGT